GAAATAAGTGAGTGCCAACCTACACTGCCGAGGATGCCTGAGGCATTTTTGTTTCAATGTGCTTTCCCCTTTCCGTGGCTGGAAACAAGACAGAAGAGGCGAGTCGACACGCGCGGACTGGTGAAGCCATGACTCCTTGGACTTGGGGAATCGCACGGTGAAGCCATGCGTGTTCATTCCTGAGGTGAGATCTCCATTCATGGCGAGGAGTGGTTTGTTCCACAAAGGGGCTCGGGTCGCTGGTCGGCGTAGGCAACGCCACTGGTTTGAATCTCTATGACTATGACTCTATGCGGTCTTCTGGCCTAACGGTGATTCAGTAGAGGATACCATTCCTGTTGCAGAAGACAGGGCGTATTTTCACCGGGCAGGTGGGTAGCCTCGAGTGGAGCGTTGCATTTGTGTAAAGTGGGAGCTGGCCAGGGCCCTCTTTTCTTTTTTTGCGGTGCGAAGCTTGGTGGGGTTGGTCATTGCACCAAGACTCATCCCGACAAAGTGATGTCCAGAGTTCAGAGCAAGCTTCATGAGTTCCTCCGCGCATTGCGCATTGCGCATTGTTTTGTTTGTGTGCACCCACAGGCGCCGCTGGTTCCTTTGTCCATGGCCACAGGTTTCCCGACAAGTTGGTGGACTGCTTTCCTGGGAAAGCTTTTTGCAGGGAACAGATGGAGAAGCAACTGGAACCCAAGCCCAGATACGAGTCCCATTCACTGGCAGAATCTGATGCGTTTCACCTTGTCCACCGTTCCCTCTTGGAGCCGTTCCCATCGATTCGGCTGAAAGGACAGTGATGTTCGCCGGTCTGCTGATGATGGCAGGCTTCGTGGTTGGGTGCCCAAGCCGGTGGGCGGGCCCGATGCCTAGCAGTGCACGGGACAAGGGAACGAAACACACGACGAAGGCAAAAGCAAGGATGGATTGTTCAGGGTGTAGAGTCCAGTGTAGACTGCAGACGAAGAAGACGAGAGGGGCCATAACTTCTGTATGTTTGACAGTGTGTTTCTAACTGCCCGCGCATGCATGATTGACGAAGTAGAAGGTGTATAGGTCAAAAGGATAAATTTGGACTATATACAGTATTCCCTTTGATTGCCATGCATGGCTGTCGAACGTCGAGGATTCCTGCATCTCCTTGGGCTGCATGGAACGTCTTTTGATAAATCGGTGTGCTTGCTTGCGACGAATGAACTAGCGTCGGTGGAGGAAAATGGTTGAAATGAGGAGGACTAGTGATGGCCTCCAACCTACTAGCTATGGCCTCCAACATGACATCCACTTCGATGTTTGTTGGGTGAATCGATGGCCTACTAGCTATGCTTCAACATGACATCCTACTAGCTATGGCCTCCACTTCGATGGTGTTGGGTCCCAGGCCATGATCATGCTGAATCTCTCTCACGCCCATAGTGAGCTGGATACGGTGAAGGCCGTGGTCGAGGCGGTGGGACGCCGCGGGACGCCGCGAAGGGGACGAAGCGGAAGGGGTCTGGACATTTTGAAGTGGTGGGGCTAGGAACAGCCATGAAGGAGACGAAGGAAGAGGAAGGACACCTTGCAGTATGCAACCAACTCAACCAATTTCTTAAAAAGTTCCTTGCTGCCTTCCTGCCAGATGCAGTCGCGCGATCTGAAGGCCTTGGGCCAGGCGAGGGCGAAACTTCGCCGTCGCAACGCTTTGCTTCAGCCTTCCCTTCTTTCAACACTTGGCAGCAAAAGAAGAGGTCTTGGTCGCAATATCATCACGGGTTTTTCATCTCACAAGGACAAAGACAACAAAGCGACCTCACCCCCACCAGGCAAATGCGCAGCTGACCACCGAGCTCAAAGCGAAGATGGGGACTTTGCCGGGGAGCTTGGCAAACCAGGGGCCAAGGTTACCAGGCTGTTTTCTTTTTGGTCAACTATTTCTTGTGGTGGTCCACAGATGTCCCACAGAGTGTATTATATAAGATTTTCTACAGCCCTGGGGCACCAGACCCGTGTCTTGGGGTCCTTGCTGGCCACCAGCTCCGGAGAACCTGCAGGGAGAGCCTCAGCCAGAAGTCCGAGCAGCAACAGGCGGCAATGCGGAGACAGTGCTCAAAGCCTGCAGACGGGTTAATCATGGTCAATCCTATGTTCAATGGAGCTAAGGCTCATATGGGACACATTAAAAATTGCTATTACTATAAATTATTACCCAGAATCCGTGGTAAAGTGAGAAGGAAGGATGTTCACTCATTCACCAGCACCTTCATCAACTTCATCATCGCTCGCATATATTTCCCAAGTGCCAAGAAAACAAGTGAATGCCACTCTTCGAGATTGGTCATTCAAAGGTCCATGTTGCCCATTGCCATGGCCTTGGCTGCCTCGGTGACCGTCGGTAGTACGTAGCCCAACATTTTGAGGCAGTAGCGCATGTATGTAGATATATATACATAATAGAATGTAATATGCATTATATATATATACATACATATTTATGTGTATATGTATGTATATATATATATATATATCCGTGTGTGTGCGCGTGTCGAGAAACATGCATACCGCTGGGGGAGGAGCACTGGAATTCCTATAGCCGGCCTTGAGCACAGCTAGATTGGTAGAGGATAGAAGGCACCCTGAGGTGGCAAAATGCTGCAGCATGCCTGGGAGCAACCCGAAGAATTGCGCGCAAAGTGGCAAACGTTGGTTACTCGGTGATGGCATAGACTTGTGCGTGGATTTTGTGAAAGACCTTGTAGGCAGCGTGGCCCAGCATATAGATGAAGATAAATGATGGAACGCCCACAACGAGTTAATTTGCTACAGCCGGCCTCTTTTGCGAGATCTCTTATGCCCAAGGCATGTGCATCAGTAGTTATGTTGTAGGGCTCTGAAAGTGTCGAAATACGTGCTAAGCCGGCCAAACAGGCGCTCCAGGAGCAGCTTGTTCAGCAGCTCTCCGCGCTGGCATCCGCCCAGTGGGAGTTCCCAGGGCAACTTGTTCGGGGATGGTCTGCGGTGAAGATACTTTTGCACCCGATACCGGGATGTGAAGACTGAACGCAGTTCGTTCGATGTTACTTTGAGCCCACCCGGTTGTGGATGTTGGACTTCGTTGTCCGCTTCGACAACTAAGGCCTAGTTATGCACCCTTCCTGGTTGGCGTACTCGAGTGTGTCACAAGTCAGGTTGTGGTAATGTAGTGTCTCACGACCTTGAGATGCAACCTATTTTCACTCTATTCCATTCAGATGTTTATCTCAGTAGATTTGGTCGGCTAGCTGCCGGGCAGAATGACAAGAGAAATCCGTCTGAGCTCTCGAGCCAACATGTTGCATGGGATTGTAGGGTGAATATGGCCCGGCCGTGTCATCATGGAGGCATTCGGGTGCATGTCACAAGTCCCCAACAAATGGGACCAATTCATCATTGTTTCGCCTTCTGAGTATTCACACCAGTCATGTCATGGCTTCTTGGCTTGGATGGAGTGAACCTGACAGTAGAAATGCCCTCTGACCAAACAGGTTGCACGTACGACCAGTACTTACATTAGGGATGTCGACTTCTATGAGATGGAGCCACACTAAACATCGTCCTGGTGATGGGCCACTGGAGATGCGGGCTGCCTTGGGATTCCCATTTGTGAACTGACCCTGCGGTGTAGGATATGTTTTCCATGAGATCCTCACACCCATCTGCTGGTTCTTGACCTCCCTGGCACCTGAAGATGCTGCAGAAGTGCCTTCCGAACGTGCCGGAAACAAGGCAGAAGACTGGCAACGAGATGCAGCTTTTAGAGCCCCGCGTGGAGGAGCTGAAGCAGAAGGCCAGGCGGGTCTCCGTGGAAAGGCGATGTCGCCAACGTGAGGAAGGAGGAATCTCTCAGGGATCAGCCCACAAGAATTCACAAGAATCATTGTTTTCCTGTGTATGACGAGGTGCTCCTGGAGTCGAACAAATGGGAGGCAGTTGTACAGTTGAGATGTGGGATAGTCAAGAATGAGGCGTTCCCACAACATGGACTTATCCCCATATATCCCCATATGATTGGTCTGTTGAGTGATCCCAAAGAGCACGGGTGGCAAGATCTGTTGATTTTCGCTTGCCTTGCAAGCCGCTGTTGTGTGTTCTTGGTGGAGGAACTCTTGAGCAGACCTGTCCCAAGGTGGTGGAGTTTGCAATATTGACTGTTGAATAATCAAACCCCCATATGAGAATAAAAAAGCGCGTCCTGACAGAAGTGGCCAACTCTGGAAGGGTCTGGTGCAGACGGGGTGGTCAGTATGGACTCTTTGGGGATCAACCTGGTGTGGCGATCGAAGCTGAGTGGCGAAGCGAAACGACGCAGCGAGTGTTGGAAGCCCGGAGCCGGTCTTGAAGAACGTCCCCTTGTGGGAGGGATCGGGGACGTTGCCAACAATTGCCGGTAGTAACATCGTAGTTACGCCATGACCAAGCCTTTCTGGCTCAAATAGTACGAACTGCGAATCAAGACCTGAAGCTCGGTACAGAATGTGTTTCAAGGTCGAGGACGATTAAGAGAGGTATGAGAGTTGCTGCATCGCTTACTTGACGGATTTTGGTGCTGCTGTGCCTTAATTGTTGGATGATGTTGGGATAGATGTTGGGATAGATGTTGATTTTACTTGACTAGATAGATGTTGGGATAGCCTGTGCAGACTTCCAAGTCCAATGGTTCTTGCAGGGACATGTGACTGCGAGCCTCATCGGCGGACCATTTAGTCTGACTGTGTGTGTGATGGGTTCCCGTTGGCAAGGGAAGGAATCCTGGATGCTGCGACTTGGAACCGTATTGCTGGAATTCATTGGACAAGATGGCTATTCCGAGTGCGTGACCCCAAACTGGCAATGCCAGATAGACTCTAGGAGAACTGGATGCAAAGACTCTCATGTTCCAGAGGCACATTTGTCCTGCCTGGCTGAATGTTTGGAACCTGATACCATTTTCCCCTTGACTGGATGCAGCAGCAGCATGCCCCAACTAAAAAACAGACGACTTTTCCGGATCACTTTTTTTGTGGTCCTGGAGGTCCCCACTCCTTTGACCTGAGACCGACCTTTTAGAGTCCTGTCCGCCACGCCGGTCCCGCGCGGAAAAGCGCCACATGGACGCCTCGGGCGCGCCCCATGCGGCCGGCGGCCGCTCCGTTGAGCTCAGCGCGGTGCGGCGCTGCGTGGTGAAGGTGCCAGTGGAGTTTGGGGTCGAGATGAAGGGACAGAGTAGACGAGCGGATTGATGTGCTGATTTGAAGTCAGACTGGGACGACTTGTGAAAGCCAAATTAGAATTTACATGAAGCTCCTGAAGAGTTCGGTGCACCAAGAGTTTGGGAGCTCCTGAAGAGAGGGCTCCGCTCAATTGTGTTCTGATTTAGACCAACCACTGCCGACCACCTGCCAGACCGACACTCTGTTCGGGGCGTGCCGCCCAGGTCTTCGTGCGAAGCTCTCAGCCCAACTGGACCTCGCCGTGGCAGCGGCGCCCGCAGCGTGCGGGGAGCGGCTCTGGCTTTTGCATCAATGCGAGCCGCCGACAGGTGAGGGTCGGGTGAAACTGCGAGGGAGTCCGGAACCTCTCAGGAGCCGGCTTGTAAGGTTGAGGCTATGGTGAAGGTCTTGCCTAGTGGTCATTGTATATATATATAGTTATATAGTTATATTTGTATAATATAGATGACTGATCAGTACTGGTTGGTTTCGGAGATTCTTTTTCTCGTCACCTGGTAGGTACGTCGATTGATCAAGCCAACTCGAACTCTTCCTGCATGAAGGCTAGAGAACTCAACTGCCAACTCTTATCAACTGGATGATGGATGGACTGTCCATCGATTACACATTGTTTTTTTTTTTTGGTCTGGAGATCGAGCACCAGCGTCGATTCAGACCCCTGAAGACGCCCCACATGCTTGATAGATGCCTAGCGGCTACAAGCTGCCCTGAGGAATCTGCCGTGCCGGTTTTCCATCCCCACCATTTTCTGTCCTCATGACTCATGTGTGGCTGCGTGTGGCTTTCATGGTGTGAGGGTGAGGCAAAAAACCGACCATCGGAACGCCCCATGACGACCCCTCTCTCCTTGCTAACCGCCCGCTGGCGCGGCCGCGCCACGCACCTAGATCCTCACGAATGCGCATGTGGTGGGAGATGCGGCTGCTCGGCGGGCGTGGGTTTCGGACCATCTGCAGGTGGTCGCCAGGGCGACCCATTCAGTTTCGGACAGAGCTGGATCAACATGAAACAGCTTGAAACCTGAGGTGACGGCCCATGAGTGATGTGGGTCGAAACTTAGGTCACCAAAACTCGACCGGAAAACACCAGCGCTAGGCGCTAGTCTTCATTCTTTAGGGTGAGGGGCGAGGGGTTTTGGGCCCACGGACGTCCGGGGAGCGAACCGCTGCGAAGGTCACGGTGCGCGTGCGCCGCTACGGGCATGCTGCGCGGTATCCCGCCAAGGCACCCGGAAGGAGTCGCTGAGAGTGTTCGCCGGCTCCTCCTGATAACAAAGGATGTTCCACGTTTGGCCCCAAGACCTCAATGACACCCAGGTGTTATGCTTATATACATTTACATCCTAGGATGTTCTCATCCTGTCCACCTATTAAAAAACACGCGCCCTCCCCTAATAAGGACACCTCGGTCGCCTTTTTTTAAGAGTCCGGCAGGCTGTGGAAGTGCACTTTTTCACCAATTTTTGAGCTCTACTAAGTTATCTGACATGTCTTCCTTCATCTGCTAGTTTTGGCTTAACACAAGTATTTCCCCAAGTATACTCCTTGGATATTAATATCAATATTTCTTTAAATAGGTATCCCAAGACTTCCTCACCTATTATTACAAATTAATGTAAATTTAAGTAAATATATATAAATTCATTGAATATATACTTAACGAGTAGTTAAAGTGTAAAATATATAGTAATATATGATGAACAAATATATATTTTTTGCTTAAAATTGATAAAGCAGAAATACCCAAAAAGGGTAACAAAGAACTAAAGTCAATAGTTATTGACAATCAACAATTCAGATACAACAAAAACATAGATATCTCAAAAGATTGAAAACATTGGAATAAGTGAAGAAAACTGATGAATATAGAAGTTACGACCATAAGATAATTTCATTGGAGCATGAAGAAAGCCCTAACCAAATATGCTATCAAAAATAGGTTCAGAGTAGAAAAAGGTAAATCAGCTTTTAAACGATATGCCAATAATCTTAAGCTCATAAACAAGCACTTTAAAGGAGAACAAGGCTTACCAATGATACAACATAAAAACTCATTACTTGCGGAATTTCTTAAACATAATCATAATATGAAACTCAACATAAGTTCGGAAGCATTATTTAGTATGCCTAATGTTAATGATGGTGAAGATTTTGATGGTGATAGTGATGGTGATATAGGTGAGTCCGAGATACCTCATAATTTACCATCCACAAGATTCAACATTAATAATGAAGATGACTTGAATAAAGCTTTAGAAGATAGTGTAAAAGAAATACTACTTCAAATAGAACAGATTGAGGCTTCAAGGTCAAATCTAAAAATTACAAGGTAGTTTCTATTACCATCCATTATGATAGATATAATCCAACAGGGCAGACAAATATATAGAGTTACCTAATTTTGTTTAGTTTAAACAGGCTTGTATCAATATAAATAAGAAAATATGTTTATAACAAATGCTTAACGTATTGTATTCAACCAGTAGTTTTTGATAAGCTTAATAAACATCACCCAACAGAAATGTTTCATTATAACAAATTGAAGGATGACATCATCAGTTGGGAAATTTTCCAGCAGGTAATAGAGATATTGACAGGCTTGAAGTGAATAATTATTGTTTAATTTCAGTAAATGTTTTTGAAACAAATGATGCTTTTAATGAAAATAACATAATCAAACCAAGAGCAACCAAAGTTTTAAATGCTAAATATCATACTGACTTATTGAGAGTGTTTGATGGTAAAAATAGATACCATTATGCTTTAATAAGAAGTTTGAGTAGGTTATTAAATTGTTAATTGAATAAAGATAACAAAAAAACATATATCTCTAGGTATTGTTCTCATTCCTTTTGTAAAACAGAGGGCTTGGAAGAACATTATAAAAGGGGTTGATTAGCAATTGCGGGGCAACAATTCAAACTACCCCCTGAAGGTTCTTATGTTGAAATTGAAAAATATAATACCAAATGCGAACATCCTTTTGTTATTTATGGAGATTTTGAATGTCTTACTGTGACTTCTTTTGATGGGATTAAGGGGTACATATCAAGAGCATAAACCTTGCGGTTATATGTTGAATGTGGTGAATAGAATTGACAAAACATCCACACCTTATCTGAATAGGGGTGAGGATTGTATGGATAAATTTATAGAACAATTGGGTAATATCAAACCCGATATCATTGAACACATAGATCTTAATAAACCAATGGTTATTAGTGAAGAAAACACATTAGAATTCAGAAATGCTACAAGGTGCTCTATTTTTAACTTTAAAAATACTGATGAATGTGATGCAAAAGTTAGAGATACCAAAACACAAAATAAACACAAAAATAACAACCCCTTCAGAAGTCTTGTCTTGCGGTAGGTGTCAAAAAGCACAATCCTAGGAGACTGTTCAGGGAGTAAGCCAAAAAAAATCAAAAAAACACAATTCCTGGGAGGTCTTGGACACCCCCCCCCAAATAAAAAAACAACAAAATACAATTCGGGGGAGGTCTTGGACACCCCCCCCAAAAAAAAAGAAAAACAAAAAAATCAAAAAAAGCAAAAAACACAATTCCTGGGAGGTCTTGGACTGGGGGTGGGGGGGGTGTCCAACGAGTATGTCAGGATTGTTTTTTTGGTTTTATTGTTTTTTTTTGGTACTCTGCATTTTGTCAGAGGACAACAGTTGAGATGTCCTTGGCAATTCATCTGAGTAGATCCTTGAAAAAAACCATACAAAAATGCACCTCCAGATCACTGAAAATTGATGAAAAAGTGCATTTCCAGGGCCTGCCGTTCTGTCTTTTAATAGGGGGTCCCTGAAATCGGGGGTCCAAAATAGGGTCACCTGAGAAGGGCTTCAAAACCAAAAAGTAATCCAGGAAAATTTTATATAAAATGCTTTATAAAACTAATATCACAAATTTAAAAAACCTCCAGATCGAAGGGTCTTCCTTTTCCCCTACAAAAGCCTTTATTAGAATAGTGATTCTTCATTAGACTAACAACTAAAGAGGTGGGCAGCTACGGTTGTTTTTGGAGCCAAATAAAGAAAACTCCTCCAAATCGGCCATGTTACAATGTTGGTACTTGTAGTTTAGTAGCGGTTTGAAAGGGCGGTAATTAAACAACACATATAACACGTATTTAGGGGGTTCCGACATGACGTTTTTATATTTTTTTAATAGGGGTCCGTTTTTAAATAGGTACTCGGGATTATATAGTTGTGGTCTTGGGTCTCAGTCGGCAGTGAAGGCAGAACTGAACTCGGAGTGAGTAGGTCATTTGGCCCCATCGAAGAGGATCTCCTTCATTCCTTTTCACAGGTCTGTGGGCTGAGTAGCCTCCCGAGTTCTCTCCCAAGTGTCAACCTGACGTGGGCCCCTCAGAGACCGCTTTCCCTTGCAAAAGATTCTTTGGAGCGATGGGAGCGACGGTGCAGGGTGCTTCGAGTCAAGGAAAGCAAAACACTGGTGGGACACACAGCCCTCCAAATTTGCTCTTATCATCCAATATTTTAAGTCTCACCTCCGCATGCTGAACATTCTGCTCGGAGCCGGTCCTACCATCCAAGGAGCACAATGAAAAAAGAAAAGAAGTGCTTTAGTACCTTATTTTCCTCTCTCCGATCTGCAAGGAACTGAGAAACGGGCTCTTTGGTCCATCATTTTCCTCTCTTGGTGGGGGGGATTCGGCACCGAAAATGGGTCAGGTGCTCTGCATCTCGCCGCAAGTGGATTTGGCGCTGCTAGAGGTGCCGGCGGAGGCCTTCTGGGAAGCTCCGCCGGTGCCTGGGCGGAGTTTGGGTGACGTGCTATGTCTCCAGGATGGCCAACAGATGCCGGAGATGCACACGGGTCGAACAGAAGACGATTCAGAAACTAGCTCCGATTCAGAAACTTGCGATTCTAAAACTACAGCTACAGAGTGTTCCGATTCAGAAACTCACCCGATTCAGAAACTAGCCGATTCAGAAACTACAGGGTGTCCCGATTCAGAAACTCCCGGGATTCAGAAACTGGCCGATTCAGACCCATTCTAGTTTCCGAATCCTAGTTTCCGAATCCGCGCCGTGCCTAGTTTCCGAATCCGTGGCCACCCTAGTTTCCGAATCCGCGGTTCTAGTTTCCGAATCACGCCGTTGACCTATGGGTCGCTCAAAAATCATGGCTGGTTGGTGGAAACAGTGGAAATGGTACCCAAAGTATGGATGCATGATGGATGGATGGATACTGACAAGTTGCATGTATAAACATGTACAAACAACATGTCAGAGAAACACACATCAACAGACACCAAGCAGTCCTGCTCTTCGTCCAGCCTATTCCCAGGCCCTGAGCTCCGTGGAACTGTCGGAGGAGGTTCCGGAGCTGGACAGCGACGTGCTGACGGTGGGCTACCCCTTGGGCGGAGAGAACATCTGTGTGACTCGAGGGGTGGCGGCCTGGTGACGAACGCGACCGCGGATGAATGGGTGCAATTTAGCGCGGCTGGCTGCTTCAGAAGAGTTGTAAGGTGTTTCGACGATGTTATATAGTTTTTGGTTGAACGGTTGAACACCTCAGATGACCCATGTCCGAGGTTTGACCTCTGACATCGACTTCAGATCCCGGTCGACGAATCGGGATGGAGAATCGATCTGAGGTGTCCAGAATCGATCTGATGGACTACACCTTCTCACCAGTAGGCCGTCGCTGGAGCCGGGGGGGAGGAGAACTGGAGGACCCAAGGCCCCTATCCTTCTTAGATGGTCCGAACTCAGGTCTCTTGAGCTCAAGAGACCTGATGATTCGGGAGCACCCTGTCAAGACTCCAGTTGGCTGCTTGACAACTCCCCTGTCACCAGGCCCAGATCTTACAGTCCGCGGGGCTTGGGGGTACGAATGTGTCGTCTAAGACGGCGCCCAGTCCGCAGTCTTCCCAGGCGGTGAGCGACAGCTGGTCATGCAGGTCTGGCAGGGTGAACGGGGGTCAAAGGGTGAACGGGGGCTTCTGGGCGCCTTGTTTGTTGCTATGTTTGTTGTTCGTTTTTGTGGAAGGTCAACGCTATTTCCTTGACCTTGTTGCTTTCTCTCAGTGGGTGTTTCTGAGGAAGTTTGGCTTTCAATTTTTGACTCTAAATTGACCTTGTTCATTGATGTTCAACGAGGTGGCTACTTGTTTTTGTTCGTTTGGTTTTATGTTTGGGTTTGAGTTTCATATTCCTATCGTCATTTCCATGTATTATGACTTTGTGGGGTGTTTCTGTCCTTTTAGTTTATTTGATGTTTGATACTTATTTGTTTGTGTCTTGTCGATTTAAACTTGTTTATGCTTATTTATGGAGCATGCGGAACCGGCCATGTTATTTTCAAGGGTTTTTCTGTGTTGTTTGTGTTGGAACCGTGTCTCCCTTTCTATGTCTTTTTTGGTCTGGGTCTTTTTGACACTTTGTCACTTCCCTAATTAATAGTTTGTTTTTTAACGATTTGGCGGCGCGTATGGACCGCCACCGAACACCTGCCCCGTGCTCATCGAGCTTCTCCCCTCAAACAGCCTGGGTGCCCAGCAAGAACATAGCATCGGATGGACAGTGTTTCTCCAAAGGCGCCTCTTCAACTTCAAAGCACGTTCGTGTCGTTTCCATGCTCCTTTCTCTCAGACATGATTCCTTGATTCAGAGACTTTCAGCTCCAAACTTCCAGCCTGTTTCGAAGCTTAATGCCCCTGACTTTGTGGTTTCTCATGGAATGTATAGCCGTGCAAACATGTTCAGATGTCGGTCTTAAGAAGCCCTTCTTAGACTCAGGCCCGGTCGCTGAGTGGTTCCGTGCGTGATCCCTTTTGAAGACTCAGACATGAAACTTGAAGTCATAGAGTCACAAACCCGATTTTTCAAGCCTACATGGCCACTGTCCCAGGGTTGCGAACTGGTGACAACATCGTTGTGCCAAAGACAGTGCTCAGTGAGGGCTCATGGGCGTTTAATGGCTTGTCAAGGCCCATTTTCTGGTGTGAAAGGTTCAACCACAGACTGGAACGAAAGGATCTTGCCAAACAGTTTTCAAACAACTAAAATTTGGGGAACGTTAATCATTCTGAAGGGACTGTGAGGGCTTGAGTACAACGTGATCATTGATCCTTTTAAATGCGAGATGCGTCCAAGACATCCGCAAAATCTGCACCGTGTTCGCGAGGAGTCTTTGAACCCAGAACTTAAACCTCTCCTTTTTTTGGCGCAGCCGAAAAATGCAGACAGAATGGTCCAATCCCCTTCCCCACCTGAAATCACCACACTTTGGCTGGAAGTGGGCTGGGAAGTTCCTGCGGCTTATGATACTGCCGAAGCCTCCAGGTCGATGCTGCGATCAACCCCGGCAACTCCGGTGGCCCCGTGCTGGACGCCAGCGGAAAGGCTGGGCTCGTGATGTGTGCTCGGAGGTCATGAAACCGAGCTAAAACCTGGTGGCAAACGGACTTGGGGCGAAAGAAAACAACTGCAAATGCTTTGGACTTATCCCTCGTAGGGGCTGCTCTGCTGGCATGCGTGAGGGGGGTGTAAAGCAATAAAGTTTCTCGGAGGAGTAGCGCGTGAGAGCGAGATGCCACTCCATACAGTTGGTGGGACAATGTGACCTATTGAATTGAAAGGGGTGTTGGATGTCGGTAGGCCACAAATCACTTAAAAAGCCACCACGTTTGATCAACACTCGCTCCCTCCTGTGTAAGGCGGTGGGTGTGGCCTTTGCCAAGTTGCAGAGCAGCGCAAACATCGGTGGCCTGGTAAAGAAGGGGGTCTTAAGTACCTCATTGATGCTCAGGAAATGACCGCCCGTTGAGCCGGGCCAGGATTGTAGTCAGGGCTCTTGTTTAGTTTAGATGCGATTCGACGCGTTTTTTGTGAAACATTCTTTTTTTAAACATCATACACATTAAATTGAATCAAGATAATTTTAATATCCAATGATTGTTTCACTTCCATGGTGCGGAAAGGACAGGGAAGCAGAACTTTGTTGGTCCATAGATCATCACCACTGGATTTCAATAGCTTGGCAAGTGGTTGATGGTGGTAGGTTGACAGTCGGCAGTGGCTTCGTCAAGGCTTTCAAGAGGTTGAGCTGACCGGCGCCAAAAAAAGGCCAGTGGATTTGAACACACACCAGATTAGACGCTTCGATGCCGCAGGAGGTTCTATGACTCGAAGTGTACCGAGTACTTCTTATCCAAACTGTTTTCAACCGTTTCTTCCAACTTGTCCACCCATGCTGCGCATCCCTTCAGCTGCAGGCTACGTGATTCCAGGCTCTGTGGTGCGCTACTTCCTCCGGGGCGTGGCGCGCTGCCGCAGCCCGGTGCTTTGCGCTCTGGGCGTCCGCTTGCAGCCCGCGCGGAGCGCCGCCCTGCGAGCCTGGCATGGCCTGGACGGTGGGCCTGGTGGGTGGAAATCGCTTTCGCCCAAACGCGTTGAGATTGGGCATAGGATGTGCCACAGGACGTTCTTTTTTTCTTTTCCTTCTTTTTCCCTTCAGGTGGAACCCTACAAACCAAGCCACCTGGCGCTTCAGATCCGCAGGAGACGGAGGATGGCGCTTTGGTCGTAGATGTGGCGCCCCTGTCGGCGGCTGCGCAAGCTGGTCTCAAGGCGAATGTGGAACCTGCGGAAGTGTGGCATGGTGTGACAGGGTAGAACGGCCTCAGCCTTTCACGCGGACTGATTTTGGGAAGAAGGATCTGAAACTGTAGCGACTGTAGTCCAAAAGGACTTTGGAACTTCAAGTTTCAAGGCTCCATGGTGTTTTTCTACGTGTTGATGCGTCGGAAGCGCGACGAAGGCGGGCGATGTGCTGCTAGCCATCGATGATGTGCCTGTGGCGGAGGATGGCTCCATCCCCTTCCGCGACGCTGAGCGAATTGGGCGGCGGGCTCAGCGGGCTCAGTGGGCCAGGTCAAGAGGTTTTGAACTAGTCGACAGGACTCTCTATGAATATGGCATCCTGGAAGAGGTTCCCACACCGCGACCTGTTGGATGCTCAGGAGCACAGATATGGTCGATATTTTTCGACCATCCAGTTGGACCCCGCACCGAAATGCCGGGGACTCTCTTCGCAGGGGTCGGGACATTTGGACCCTCGAAACACTTTGCAAAGGGGCACGTGCTTTTCGAAGGTGGAATGTGTGGGGTGGGTGATGAAGGAGGAGCATTGACTGTTGCATCCATACGGTGAAACGAGTATCACAAGTCTTCTCGAACCAATGGAAAGGGTTTTTTCTTCGGATCCAGCCCCCTGCGAGGGTGTTGGGTCCAAGGATTCTTGGGGTGTACACTGGTATGCCGTATATGCAACCATCCTGGAGTAGATAGAACATTACCAAACCGAAAAGTGACCAGTTTCCTATTTTCATATAACTTATAACTATATATATATATATGTATGCTGCATTTTGTTCTCAATTCCAGGATGGCTCTCTCTCTCTCTCTCTCCCTCTCTCCCTCCTGTCGACACGGACATGAAGGGCACCAAACGCCGCATCAATGCGGCAAATGGCAAAGCAGAAGACCAAGGAAACAGCAAGAAGAATTTAACTCCCAATCCGGTGACTCTGAGGAAGATGGAGATGGAGACTAGGTCCTCTCTCTCTCTCTCGAGTGTCGCACATGTGAACAGAAAGTAAAATTGAAGTTCCCCACCATGCACTGCATACAAAACATATCGCTGCATCCCCATCCCAATTGGCTCCGCCCGCCTCCGCCCGCGTTGTCCGACTGGTTTCGGAGCTCAGGTTCGACTTTTTGGTCTCCCGGCGCGTGACGGGAGATCTCTTCAGTGGCTTGGGCTCGTGCGGAACTCCGTAGGGTGTGAAGGCCCCTATGGCCCCTGTCCGTGTGTGGAGGGTGAAAGTTGCCCTGAGGGCATTTTGTTGTTTTCTGACCACTCCTGACAGGATGAGGTGACCGACCTGTGTTAGTCTCTACAGAATCGCGCTACACTCTGCCGACATCTTGACACAGCGGAATGGATCGGTGCATGTTGTAGATAGTATTTCACTGTAAGATAAAAAGTGCTCAACGTTTTGCAGCAGTTGAGGTTTTTGCGGTTAATTTTGACTCATATGCCATGTTCTGCCCCGGGTTTGAATGTGTGATCTTACAGTGAAAAACTATACCGGTATTTGGCCAGCTTAGACCAACAAGCATGTGCCCACCCCAGAAGCAGGACTCCACTAGACCCAGAGTGGACGCGGCCCTAAGGGGCCTTAAGGGAAGCCGGTATGTAAATTGCAAGATAAGGACACAAGCCTGGGAACAACACAGGTTTTTTGGCTGCTTTAGCTCATTCCCCCACCTTGGCTGTCGGTGCCGGGTGTCCCGCCGACCTGGAGACTGAGAGTCCGCGCCGGATGAGGTGTGAAGGTGTGGAGATCGGAGGCCGAGGAGCGCCAAGGGCAACACTGTCGGCCAAGGGCATTCACAAGACCCTCCTCAGAATTTACAGGGAGTGGGTGCTTTCGCAGCAATATGTGCTTTTGTTGTGAGTTTCTGGAAACACCTTCTATGGACACTAACCTGCCAAAGACGAGTGGTATTGCGGTGCAGCGGCCAGGAGGGTGATTTCTCCGCAGTGCAGCTCCACTTTCCGCTTCACCACTACGTCGCTACTGTGAGTCATAAGATTGACATCGGTGGGAATGTCCATTCGGTGAATATTCTGGTGGGTCATCACTTCCGCACCGACTCCAAGTTCGGTGCAACGTTTGCTGGTTTGCTTTCGAAAAGGGCTGAACATGTCCATTTTCTGTCCCATCCAGCCCTAAGTCCTCAATGTGGCCCGGCCCCTTGCCAGTCGGCTCCAGACTGGCGCATGCAGGGTCTTGAGAGAATGACCGGACCCCTTTTTTGGACCCCGCTGCGTCTGGACGTGGAGAGGAGAAGGCCTTGCAGGTGCACGTCTCGGCGAAGCCGTTGCCGCAGCTGGTGCCGCGAAGGGCAGGCGACCGTCGCGGTGACCGTGGTAGCGGTGGGTTGCCGGTGGCATGTGTGAGGAAGTGGGAGAATGGTGCTGGTTCGGCAGGTGGGTTTGGAGGAGGAGCTCTGCAAGCAAATTTTGCAGGAGGCTGAGGTGCTTCAAAGAAACGCATGGGACGCAGCCAACATAAAGACATAAACAATTCATTCTGGCTACAAAGACGCTTCGCACTTTCCCCTGTTTTGGGTGGTGTGACATGGCCACCATCTCACCCTCCACAGCGACCGGCGAAAAAAAAAAAACGGCTCCCAACCCCCGCCCTTTTGTGGCGCCTCGGCCGCGGCGGAGGCGTGGATTGCGTGCCGTCCTACCTGGTGGTTGGTGGGCTGGTTTTCATGCCATTGACTCTGCCCTGGTTGCTCGCGCGCTTCTCAGAGGCCGTGCTTCCCGGTGCTTTCCTCGAAAGAACCACGTTAGACATGCACAACGTCCTGCGCGTGTAGCAGGGGACGATTTGTTACGCACTGGAATGAATGGGCAAATGGCCCACAAACCCTAGGACGCATACTCAAGTGTTCAGCACTAATTAGATTGGAACCCATCTCCCTGTGACAGATCCCCTGAGTCGGTAGATGCATGCCAGGAAAGGGTATCCGAAGTCAGATTGAATATGATTGAAATAGGGATTCAGTTCTGATTCTAATCTCAGCATTGGAACAGGCCCATTTTGTGCCTGGAAGATCCAGAGCATTGGAGCATTCTATTCCCGGTCCCGTGTCTCCCAGAACAAGCTAGCTAAGGTCGATTCTTGTAATCTTGGTTTGTAAAACCCCATATGAATGAAGATGTTTTGCAGTCAATTTTTTTTGTTTGTCAAGATTTGACATTACACAGAATTACACACACAGATAGATAGATAGATAGATAGATAGATAGATATATATATATATATATACCATGATGCACCTATAGACTTCCTCAACTCTGGTGGTTTCAAGTGGCTTGGTCGTCGAGGTGCGGAAGGCGCCGGGAGAGCTGCAAGCGAAGCTCTGGGCCGCTTGGGTTTTGAAGCGGTCGGCACTGGGAGCGGCCTGTGGCCGGGGGGCCTTGAAAAATACTGCCAAGTGGTGAGCCTTGAGGGTAACATATTCTTCTCTACTGCTGTAGGGGCAGTGATGAAGGTGTTAGTATGATACAACGCGGTGTGTTTCACAGGTAGCCGCGTAGCCCTTCGAAGTAGGTGGGATCTTTGAAGGGGGACATTCACACGTGCTCATGGATTACGCGTGCACGTCTGGAGCGAACCCGAGGTGGGGGATCGGCGTCCAAAGTCCAAAACAAAGGTTGTTTCAATTTATGGGCCCGTGATTTCGTGATCCCACTGTTAACTTGTTTGGTAAATGGTGTCGAAATGATTTGGCACCCTTCTGCGAGATTCCATGGAGCGGTCGCGGCGGGCTGCTAGTCATCCACTTCAAACACTTTGAGGGTTGGCCTTGGCCTGCAGCTCGGTTGGGGGATTTGCTGTAAGTTTTCTTTGTCGTTTGTGGCGGCCCTTCTTGCCAACCCGTTCAAAAGGAAAGGGGGCAGCCTTTCTTTGGCTCATCTACTGTTGATATTTGGGCGAGATTTGCATTGATCGCGGGCAACCCGGAGTTCCAGATGGCGTAATGGGAGTTTTTTGACCCCAAACCGCCCTATGCGCCACGGCACCATACCATTTTTCTTGGTGCAACCAGCAATGTCAAGCTTTTTTGTTTGGTCTATTCGTACTTGGGTTAGTTTAGCATCTTGTGTTCCGGGGTGGATTGGAGGCCGGAAGCTACGCCAAAAATTCAGCACTGTTTGGCCGCTTGAATTGCTCCAGCTTTCAAGTCGGGTGGCCTTCGGAAGATTTGGCGATGACTGCCTATAAGTCAATCACCAATCATTTCGGTCTGGAAATGCAAGCGCTACTGGCCCACTACTGGCATGTTGGCAGATGCATATGCCGAAGCTGCTTTCTTGCGGCAAATGCCGACAGTTCTTTCCTTTATGCAAATGGCTTGTTTAATCAAACAGAACCTTCTGCAAGGGTACACATCGAACAGAATCCGTGGCTACAGGGCCCGCAAACAGAAGTTGGAAGCCGAACGAGTTGACTTAGCGAGAGCCAACAACGGCAGACAACGTCACAGTCACAGACAGGAACTATATATATATATATACTTTTTTGGGGGGGTGAGCATATATATATATATATATCTATATATATGGTGAGCATCGTGACAGTAGCAAAAAGTTGGATTTCTAAACCGAAAATACGGACAATGGGTGTATCCGACCTTGAACACCAGAGGGCCGTGCTGTGACAAAGCTTTCTCCACAACTTTGTAGCTATGGCTCAGCGCAGCCCCTGAAATAGCATTGCTTCGGGGGAGTTGGATCAGGGTGAAGCATTCCACAGCCATTGGTCTCCAGGTAGGCCATCCATGGTTGACAAGGTTTGGAATCTTTGGAATCCTGCCACAAACAATTCACATGGGCACATGACCGCGACATGCGTGTTGACAATTTCTGGCTCATGCAAGATGCTGCGAAGCATCGCGTGAAGTTGATAGCTGACATGAAACAAAGTGTGATGGCCAACAACTACGGGGTCATCACCTATGCTTTTGCTGCATCGAGTTCGGAAGTCCGAAACACGACCTATAGAATATTCCAAGGAAAAAGGCAGCAACATTTGGCACACACTTGCACCACGCAGCCCATTTTGCAAGTGATTGCGCGCGCAGAGAAGAAAATGTCACCAGCGGGTTCACCGATTTGAAACGCATCTTTTCCCCTTCTACCGCCAAGGTTTGATGTTGTCACGTTGGGACACAATCCGCTGCCAGCTTTTTCCCCAATCTGTCTGTGTTCAGGCGGGGAAATTTGATTTGCACAAGACCTTGGTACAAGACTATGCGAAGAGTATTTGCGCAGCGAGGTTGCAAATTTTCAACAAGGTTCGCTTGATCGGCAATTCAAAGCTCCCTACCACGAAAGATGAAGCAAGCGGCGCCGAAAGCAAAGGGAGCCAAGCATCAGTCTGTAAAAGATCTGGTGGCCTTGTCCGACTTGACCCGAACGCTGCCGACAGTGCAGCTTGCAGATGCCATTTGGCAAGTTGTGTTCCGAGACATTGAGTCCAGAGGGGAGGGGAACGCCGTCGTCTATCTCCAAAGCAATTTTTTCGAATGTGGAACAGTGGAAGTGACGCAGAGATTCTCCAGAGGCCTGGAGAAGTGTGCTTGGGACAGCAAAAAAGTGTGGCAGCCGTCATTTTGGATTGGCATTTTTGGAACATTTCCTGGCACTGGCAGCGGCGCAGAAGGCCTGGAGGCGCGGCATTCTTCATGGCAGAAAGAGATACAAGCGCGGAGCAAGACCAGCCTATGTGATGTTTTCCAAGCAATGCAAGAGCTGTATGAGAGGTGGTCCTCGATCTTCGATTGGGGAAAAGCCATGAAAATGACCACGTTGCCTGGGACACTGAATGACCACTTGTTGAAAAGCGGAACTATGCAGACTCAAGGGCGTTCTCCGGCCGTTGACTATTGGAAGAGCCGCAGTGAGGGGAACTATTTTAACATACGACGTTGAAAGACGGCACCGTGGCAAGCAGTAACCGACCCGTCATGTTATCTCAAAACACCGTGGTGCACAGAGCTGAGGTCGAAAAAAAGACGGGGCAAACAATTTTTGGGTGATGCAGACGCCGTCAGGACCTGTCGACGAGGCTGCGTCTGTATGGCACCAAATGTGTGCGTTGTTGCCACAGGTGGGTTTATATACATGTCTTTGCTGTGCGAGATGATTGCGTCTGGCGGTGGGGAGAGGTTGTGTCAATTGTTACAGAAGTCCGGCATTGCGCCTTCTCCTTCTAAAATAGACATAGAGAGATTGCGTTGGCTTTTTTGAGAAGCATGTTTGCGTAGTCCAAGGCCCTATCGTGACAGATGCGTGGCCACGGTTTCAGGGCAATGCGCTTTTTGAGTATAAAGTTTGTTTATGTCAAGCCACCCAGCATGTCTCTCATGGTTTTGCAAAAAAAGCAAAAAAGCGAAAACGAAGCAACTAAATACAAAAAGCAAACGGAAAAAAAACAAATTCAAGAAGCAAGAAAAGCACACGCAAAAGTGGCAGCAAACAAAAAGCAAATCCAAAAAGCAAATGAAACGAAAAAGCAAAAAATGGCAAAAGAAAAAGCAAACGCAAAACAACGCAAACCCAAAAAGCAAAGCACATGAAAATGCACAAAAAGACAAATCCAAAAATCAAAAAAGAGCACATGAAAAAGCAACAGCGAAAAAACGTACCCGAAAGGCGCAAAACGAAAAAGCGAAAACAGCGAAACAACAAACGGCAAATTGAGTTTTGTGCTGTTTGGATTTGCTATTTTTGGTCTTGCTTTTTCATTATTAGCTTTCTTTTTTTTGCTTTTCTTTCTTTTTTTTTTTGCTTTTGCTTTTTCATGTGCTTTGTTTTGCTTTTTGGACATTTTTTTTTCTGCTTTTGCTTTTTCATTTTTGGCTTTTCGGATTTGCATTTTTCGCTTTGTTTTTGCAATGTTTTTGCCTGGGTCCGGCCATGTTGCGGCTAAACTTATTAAGGGTAATCGGGCGACTCATCAGCAGCTCATCCAGGCCTCAATGGTTTGCTAGCTGCAAGGCAAAGGGAGACGCCAAGCAGCAGGCAGCAAAAGCGCGACGCGTCGCCGAGAATATCTGGCGAAAGCGGCGTGCAGCCAAAAAGGGGGAGGCACAAGCTTGGCCAGCTAAAAGTTTTGTATTTTAAGATGAAGATTTTTCGCGCCGCCTCGGGCCATTGAAGCAAATTATTGAACATCAATAGGGGTTTTTAAGTCACTCACTGACCAGGTTCTATCTAGCAACACCTCTGCCTCTACGATTGCAATTTCAAGAGAGACAAAATCGTGTATTATTGATTTCAGCTTGAGCTTGGAGCCTGGTCTTGGGCTGTGTGCTTTGATTGCGTTTGTTTTCTGTTGCGGGCCTTTTGGTCCTTCGGCTTTTGACTTGAGGCCGTGTGGGGCTTGGATATTGCTTTCCTTTGTTCGTTTTTCTGCCCTGGGGTTGCTTCTCGAATGAAGGTACAGTGAATTACAGATACTGGCATCTGTGTGTGGATACGTGGTGGAAAGGTATATCGGGGAAGCCGGTGGACGGAACATACTTCGATTCAATGATCGGATGGTGCACAGGTGCCAGGAGCACTCATGGGCCTTCTCGTGAATGGCGCCCCGAGTTCGGATGACCAAATCCGAATACATCCATTTTTGACCATTCATCTTTGATGGGGTCATCATATATAGAGAATTGCTATCGTTTTAATCGATTTAAAACGTTGGTCTTCAGGTTTTTCTCCTGCATTTCACGATGCTCTACCAACCTTTCGTCCTTCAACTTGCATGTCTCAAAACTACCGACTTGCACAGCTGTTGCAATGATGAGCATGCCACGCAGACAACCCTCGCAGGAATTCCACCAATTTCCCGGTATCAATTCTTCACCCTGTCCCACCACCACCCCACCACCCAATGCTCCCTCTCCATGATGCTTCATCATTGACGTCTACGACTTTCACCTGTTTGCCTCCTGAGCCCGACGTCCCGCTCCTCTCTTCATCTCACTCGTGGTATCTCAATGGGGGGGCTGTCAATATTGCGATTTTAGACTTGTCTATATTCATGTTTTCGGATCTTTCCGGTTTAGGGTTTAGCGCCCGCCAAAACAATTGGCGCCATGGGCAACCTTGTTTCCTCTCCCGCAAAACATTTTTTTTCTTAAAAAAACATGTTTTCTTTTTATTTTTCATTCCCTCGGTGGTCGTGCTCGCCGTAAGGTTTAAGTATTTAAGGGTATCATTTATTAATGAATAGTTCCCTACAGTTGTGAATCTCATTCAACCAAAAATTGAGTAAGTATACAAATCGGTTTGTGTAATATATTAAATAACTATATATTCACAAATTTTTGATTTTTGTGTTTGTGATATTAAGGCTAAGTATCACACACATATATAAAGAATCCCATGTGGGATGATGCGCGCGCAGGTTAGACAGATTATCATTGTTGCTTTACACGCGCCCTTTTCTCATTGCGCAAGGAATGGGTAAGATGAACACGGTCCTACCCATTCAGGTCGTTGACATCGGGAACAGCATGCATATATGCCCACAAAAACCTGGAATACCGCCTTCCTGTGCAAGCCACTCCGATATGTTTTTCCAGTGGTGTAGACCAGGAGCAGCACACAATGCTTCTGACTTATGCCAGTGGTGGTGTGGAATCGTCGTGGAATCTCGTTCGACTTGCCCCTTCTGCCCGAGGAACACAAAGAGCACCCAGAACAGGAGACACTCCGTGGCTGGGAGGGCCGGGCCAGAGTTTGAAAACTATATAATTGGGTCCCTTCGTCTAACGCCTGGATATGCGGGCAAGGACCATGGAACATGCTTGGAACAGAGAACAGGAGTTGACAGCAGCGAACAGAAACTTTGGACTCGCATGAACTTTTTGAGATGTTTTGGCCCACTTGGTTCATGGATGGGAGAAGGCCGCCTAGGTTTGAGTCATTTTTGTTTGGCAAAGAACGCACGTTCTTAGGCCTCGTCAAGTGATGTGTTTCTTTCAGGAGGTGATCGTGCTGGCCAAAGTCCTAGCTGCAGAGGTGAACTATGGCTACCAGGAGTCTTTTTCACGAAAACCCGGTCGAACTGGGTCCTTTCCCAAAGACCTCATGTTGCAACACCCTCGCGGTTTCGGGGGAAACGGTCACATGACCACATCACCAGTCACCCAGTCACACAGTCAGAGCTCCTAACCTTGGCCCAGAGTAATGCCACGTAATGCCGGGATCACACAGCAATATATATATATATATAACGGAATATATATATATATATACATATACATACATAGAGTCATCATAGAGTTATACAATATAACCGGCATATACCGCCACAAGAATCCAACGGTAACGGGAAGCCTTGAATATACGACACCCTGATCAATACTTCAAACATATCCACCTTCCAACCTTTGCCCCAGTCTTTTTCTATGGTTGCCTTTAGGATCCTTTAAGGCTGGTGGAGCTTCCAACAGACTACACTTTCAATAGGCTTGCAGCGCCGCCCCGGTAGGACCTCGCCTGCTACGAGCTGCTATCCTTTGCCGGGCGCCCCGTGCGCAGCCTCCGCGCGCTGCGGGACCGGCTCCAGGAGCTCCATGCGGCAGGCACGAGTGCAACTGCCGTGGATCTTCTCAGGGTGCTTTGTTCACATCCGCGGGGGTTTGGTAAGTGTTTGGCATGGAACCCGCGAGGTCCGTGAGGCCGGGTGGATGGGTTGTTTTTTTCTTAAAGCATCTTTTCAGGGCCTCTGGTTTGCGTCAAGGCGGAGGCACTTAACACCAGACACGTGGAAAAAACATGAGCAAAGCCGGCGCAGCTACCAATTTCACATTTCACCCCCGTGGTAGGACATCGAGTCGGGCCTTTCATCGAACAAGGACTCCCAATATCTCCCGATCTATTTGATGCGGGGTGATGTTCTGAGTTGTTCTTGTTGAACAGCTGAAGCCACAGCAATCTGTGAGAGATTCAGTGTCAGCAGATGGACCTCTTCCTCAGCTCGGGTCGATTTTCATTGGTCTCACGGTGAAGGGGAGGTCTTTATATTCAATTGTATATATATATATATATATGTATGGTTGTAGAACCATCGTGGACTACGGTACCATCCAATTACGAATGCCGGATTTATCACACATCCAATCTGTCAAACACCGCCAGACTCGGTGAGGGCTGCTGATTTTTCGTTACCTGGCTCCAGCGCCGGTGCGATAGGCTCGGAACGCTTCCTACGTTTCGGCTTGAGCCGCTGGGGCCGAAAGCGCGATTTCGGCCGTGCGAAGGGCTGTGTAGCACCCCAATCGAAGTGCAATGAGCATAGATTAGACAGCCGGAGGCTGTGGAGGATGCGGCAAAAAGAGGCGGAAGCCGAAGCCTATGTGGGGTGCCAGGCCGTTATGCAGTGTTAGTCTTTGTTTGGGCCTGATGCGCAGATACCAGATATCATAGAGTTTGTTTGGGGGCATAGTTGCATATGTATAGCTTGACTTTGGAGATGTCCATTTGAAGACTCACTTATATAATGTAATGATATGGCGCTGTTCCAAGTTCTAAGCATTCTCTGAGGCTTCAACCTTGAGATCGTTTTGGAAGCGGAGCAGTGCCGGCAGACGCACTCCAGCATCCTTCAGCAGCATGGCATTCAGCAGGACAGCTCCATGCAACTTCCCACATCGGGCCGTCCCCCGTTGGGCTTCCGGTGCCAGTGGAAAGAATCACCGAAAGGACTTGCAAACTTTCGGAGACCAGGCCTGCCAACGGGTGCTTGTGGAGGGGGCAATCTAAAGTTGTGAGACTTCCAACTTGGACCTATCATGGTAAGTAATTGCTCACCCTCAACATCACAACAAACCCTCAAACGGAATCAAACGACCCCCTAGGTTCAAGTGGTCTCTTTGTGCCATTCCCCATAAACAGCAAACGTTATGGACCCTCAGCAGGAGGGTGCACTACCATGCTCTGTTGCTCTGAGACCACAATAAGCCGAAACAGCATGGTAAAAGTAGGCAGATGACCTACAGGTTCAGTAAACCTCTGAGACCACAATAACCTTGTTGGGTGATAGAACCTGTACACACCCGTACATGTGCGAGGACTGTTCGTCCGACTTGCTGGAGCCGGCTGCGCGGCTTTGAGCCTGCACAGCTTCGCGGCGGGCCGTGAGGTTTGTGGCGGGGGGTGAGGTTGGCTTTGGAACATCCTTGGGTCCCCATGATGGTGAAGAGAGGAATTTTGGCCTTTGATGGTGAAGATGCCGGATGTCCTTTTTCTCCAGAGGGGGGTTTTCAGCCTCGAACATGCGGGGTTCTCTTGGGCGTTCGATTTGGGCAGAGAGACCTGCTGTTGGATCACGTCCAGGGGGCCTGAACTTGAAGGAACGCATGTTCTGGATGCATGAAACGCCACAAGTCATTCAGTACCAGATAGGGCCCCTCCAAGTTTATATAAAGTCTAAAGGGCACCTCTCACCTCTCCCCTTTGAATCTGGTCTTCTCGTTCCCTGCCCTCCGATCTGGCACGTTCCGATCTGCCCCCCTTGCAGGGTGCAGGGCGCGAAGATGTGCCGAAAATGGACCGCGTGCGCGACTGGACCTGCTGGGGGGTGGGGGTTGTCAGCGAAGGCGGTCAATTGAGAAGTGCCTTTCTTCTGTATGAGGCTTGTGATGCTACACAGTTTCATTTTCCGTTGAGATCTGGAAGGGTTTCTGATGGAAAGGTGGGTGAAAGAAGGAAAGAAGCCAGTCTGCAGAACCAACATCAGGTTTTCAGTTTCGCAACCTTTCCAGCTGTCCTACATGTTTTTCCCGTGATCTCCCCTTTGTGTTCTTGCACCAGAGCATGTGCACGTGCCGACCAGGTTGGATCTGAGGAGCAGGCAAGGTGGGATCTGAGCAGAAGCTTTTCCAGCTATACGGGGCGTCTAGCATCTCCCCGCATTGACAGCATCTCCCCACTGGCACTTCACGGCAGAAATCCGAAGATTCAGTGAGTAGAGTCGAGTCGAGTAGAGTCGCAAGTGGACCCTGTATCGTTTCAGGGCTCGGTTGTTGCGCTCAAGCTGGGCACGTTTGTTCAGTGCAGCCCTGCTCGGGTTGCTGCTCGGTGGATCGCCAGGAGCTTGACACGATTGGAGCCGGGGGACCTGAAGAGAGGCCTGCGCCTGTCTCTCTGGCCGTAGCTTTGGCCTGCGGATGGTGAAGCCTCGAAGTGGTGTGATCTTCACGGAAGAAACCTAGGAAGGTCACGGTTCTTTTTCGTGTTGGGGCCTGGTTGGAGTCGGATGGCATGTGAACAGGAGATAGCAGGAGTGGCTCAAGATCAACATGGAAGAGTAGGGGTGAACAGACACGAGAGACCAGAGATGCACCACTTTTTGCCCGGTCAATCTTGCACACGGTGGTTCTTGACTCCTTGACATGAATCTATCCGAAAAGCTTTGTAGTCAGACTCCTGGCCAGAGGCCCCTCCCCTCCTGGCCAGAGCCCGTGAGACTTGTGGAGCTGAGGAAGAGTTCATCGATCTCAAGGATGAACTCAACAAGTTGAAGTTGCAGGTGCCCAACTTGTTCCGTGCCACGCCGTTTTCTTGTGGGCATGGGGCCGCATGGGGGTCTGGCATGGGAAAAGCCACCGAACCCGGAGAGACCATCCTCAGAGACCTTGGCTCCTTGTGAGCCTGAACAGTTCGGCCTCGTGCGGTCGCAGGTCTCCGGTGTGAGCGAAGCCTTGCAGAGGCTGGGTGGGTGGTCCTGGGTGGGTCGCCAGATTGGGTGGTGTGACCACCTTCGCCGGGGTCGTTGAGTCCGTGGGGGCTTGGGCGCCCGGGCTTTCTGGTGCTGGGCTTGTGTGGTGCCGTGTTCTTTTTCCTCCGGGTGCGCGGGGTGCGTGGTGGTGGGTTCGGAATTCATGCTTGTCTGTGTCTCGTGGGGTGGGGCCGGTTGCGGGGGCGCTTTGTGGGGTCCTGGGGGTGTTTGGTTCGTTTCTGGTACGTAGGGTCGTTCTCGAGGGTGGGGTGGCACCAGGGGCGTGGGGTTGCGCTCCTGGTGGGGTCCGTGGCTTCTTCTTGTGGGGGACGCCGCTCCCGGCCTGTCAACGGAGACGGTCTCATGCCCGGACTCACATTTGGCTAGCAATCAAACCTTGTCCCGGACTGGGTTGGCGCCTTGCCCTCCAACCAAGTCTACACAGTAGGCATCCGGGATTTGTGCCATTTGTCGCCCCCGCCCCCCACCTTGCGCACGTTCCATCAACCCCGAACCCAGAAAAAAGACATGGTTTTGTGACCTCATGGGCCCATGGGTCTTGTTTTTCCTACCAAATGTGGATGCGTGTTCCCATGCGGTCGGGTGTTCTTTGTGCCCTGCACCGCCCTGCAGAACGGTCCCATGTGGTCGGTCTCACCGTAATACGTGTGTGCAGCCCGTCGGATCAGGGAAGCGGAGAGGCCTCCTGAAGCGAGCAAAAGGCGTGGTGCGGAAAGAACTCGCTCCAGTCAAAATACCAGACCGAGAACATTAAGCTGGTGGTTTTGAGGGAGTTCAGAAGCTGGGGGAACTTCCCTGTTCCTGGGGAGGCGTGATGGAGCTTCCAACCTTTGCTCAAGCTTCCCACCCATGGTGTAACGGCCGCAGAGCTCGTTTTGGAGGAAGCTCGAACTTTGGGGCACTTGGCACTTCCAGATGTGTGGCATGCAGGGTGCGTCCAGGTGAAGGGGATTTCACGAAGCGACTCGGCCACCGCTTCGTTCGGCCACGTGGGTGCCCGAACGACTCACTGGCTTGTATATACTCCTTCTCAAAAGAAGTTGTCCAATAGACAGATCTATGATAGATGCATTGTAGAGGGAGGTCAGTATGCATGTGGAAAATCCAGCATGTTATCCTCCAAAGAGGTAAAGACCGCCCAATTATCACATTGCTTTTAAACATGGACATCATGATTCAGCAGGATGTTCGGCTTCCAAGGCCCAGCGATGGAGCCCCCCTAGGCCCCAGGTAGGCCCCGCCAACGCTGAGAAGAGCCCCCAACGCGGAAGACGAGCGCTCAGGGCGTCCACCGAGGGTGACGTGGAAGAGGAGCCCAAGGAAGATAAGGCGGACGCCTTGTGCGTGGCCTGCGGCCCACGACGCGAATCGCAGGCGTTCGCATGTGACCGTTTGAGCGACCGTTTCTTTCTGCACCATTTCTGGAATTGGGGGCTGCTTTGGGGTGTTTGAGTTTGTTCCATTTATTGATTGTGCTGACCGCCATCGCTGAGATGAGAGGTGTGAGCAAAAGACCGTTTCGTTGTGACCCTCCTGCGCCAACTAAGACCTCACCGAACTGGCCAAAGTCACCGGTTTAAAATGCTTCTAGATGCACAGATCCCCCTTTCAAGCTGCTGTTTTCGAAGCCGGGGAAAAAGCACCAAGGTACTTGTCAAGGTTCCTGCACCATCCTGCACCATCGGGCCATAGCAGAACTCTTCCATCCGTATGCCTTCCGCCCAGGCAGAGGAAGGCACCAGAACCGAGAGGCCGCTCCGGTGATGGGAGAGACGAGCTTGGGAATGCCGCTGCTTGGGAAGTTTAGCTGAGATTGTGAAAACAGCCTGAAGGAGCATTTATCCAGACATGTCTTGTGTACCAACATCTCAGGACAAAGTCCAAGCAACTTGAAGAAGACACAATGCACAGGCATCAAGTATTGGCTTAAGCTTAAGCTTCTTCAAAAATGCGAGGGCTTCTTCAAGGAAGCCCCCCCCCACCACCTTTAGAGCGGCGGGGGGGAGCTTCCTTGAAGAAGCGCGAGGTAGCAGCTTAAGTACTTTGTAGCTACCTAGCAGCTCTAGCAGTCTCTACGGCCTACCAGCCTACCTCTCCGGCCCTTAACAACAATTCATGAAATATCAGGCTCAAGAGCTGAATCAGGACAGTGAATCTTTGGTCGCCGTTTGCTCCAGAGAACCATGGGATGTGCAGCCAGCGTCGCGACCCGCGCGGGCGACTTTTCGAAGGTCGTTCCGCATGACGACATCCTCCCCTTCGACGACAGTCCGACCATCCGTCCGGTTTGTCCGGTTGGTCCTCGCCGGACAGCGGAGGACGTGTCAGCAGCGGAGAAGTCACCGCAGGCGCCGACAGGTGAATGTAGCATCATGATGGTTTCAGAGGGGAGCAGGATTTGGTTTGAGGGCTCGGAGCAGGAGCAAGTGGATTTTGATGAGAAGATGCTTGCGAGCTACAGGTCTTTTGAGTGGCCCGATAGTCTCGCCCCAAGCGATGTTGCTTTGCCACCTGGCCGCCTCGAGCATGAGCTCAATTCAGACAAAGTGCGTCGGTTCATGCGTGCTGCACAAGCACATCAAAGGAAGTTCAAACACATCATTGGAAGGGGGCGAACTGAGGGCTGTCATAGCTGAATTCTGTTTGGTTTTTAAAAGTTGTGCTGAGCCGTGCGAGTGCTTGGTCGCAAGGCCCAAGTGCGCTTCCTGCAGATTCAGAATTCTTCGAGTCGGCTACTTCTTAGACTCTAGACTTTAGACGACCTAGTGACCTAGTCGACTACATTTGGTTTTGTCCGGGGCATCCCATGGAGCTCAAGCCTTGGCGGAGGGTCAAGGCTTTTTAAAAGAGCGCCGTTGGGAGAACTGCTCCAGCTGCCTGGAAACGGGTCGAGGTTTGTCAGCAAACCGTCGAAGGATTGTACCCCTTGCCACGGCAGTTTGATCTCAGTCTGGGTGATTTTTGGAAGACCTAGGGAGTGTTTTACGGCTGGCTTCTTGATGAGAAGATTCTAATCTCCAAAAGAAAGACTCACCAGTTGAAATGGGCACTCTTCACATTTTCTTGACCAGATCTGTTCGAGTATTCTAAGCGTTAGCTATGAGGGTCGATCCGAAGCCTTTACCCAGACAGTTTTGGCACCCGTGCAACCGTTCTCGCCCGTGATCCTGTGCAATGGCACATGGGTCACGCTGTTCAGCATCACGCTGCGGACTCTGCCGCCCACGCCATTGGGCCTGGGTTGAACAAAAAGGCGAATTCCTCATACCGAGATTTGCAGGACATTACAGGACCTTGATTCATAGGGCAATCATAAGACTTGGCCCAAAAGGCCCTTGATGTTAGGTTTCGCAAAAACTGCCACGTACCCCCGAAGCTCAGCCCGTATCCCCTTCGGAGTCGAGGAGCCACAGCCCCCACGGTCGCATCGGAACTCGCTGGCCATTTCCCCCTTCCATCTACAGTAAGTGAGTCAGGAGTGTACCACATGTTTCTTGCAGGGTCGAGCCTCTGACCACCTGGTCTGTTTTTGGGTCAAGCTCCCCGAGCACCGAAACAGGCCACCTTCTTCGGTGGAAAGCGTGGGGGCTCGGCTGAAGCGGGTCTGGTGTGAATCTAAAAGGAGAACCGAACCGAGCTATAGCAAAAGGTCGGGCCAGGCTCTTTCTCTCAGCCGCCGAAAGCGCTTTGGATGTCTTGGAGCAATTAGGGGAATCGCAGGCTGTTCAGGCTGTTTGTTTACTGCTGTTTTCTGTTTTCTGCTTTGATGCCAACAGATGTTCCGTACTACTGTATATAAGCATCGGTCAACAATGACACATCACTAGGCCTTTAGAGAAAGCAACTCAACCATCATCATCCACTGAAACCTGGTAATGGCACATACCCAACGCAGCATAGCTGTGGGTTCTAACCAACAACAGAACCGCCCCTCCACGCTGATCTGAGGAGAAGCCGCTGAGAAGTCCGAAAAGCCCAAGGGCCTAAAGCTGGCCACGGCACCCCTCGGCGCAGGCACCGCAGCATGGGGGAAAGAGTATGAAACCAAGCTGCTTTGTGGTGGATACCCTGGTGGATGGGGTGAATGTTGGTGTGGCAGTGGAGTTTTTGTTGGCTTTGGGGCGATGAGAAGCTGGGCTTCCTGGTTCTCAATGTGGAGGAGGCTCAAAATTGGCCGTGATCCAGACTCAGACTCAATCTATAACACGCACGCACATACTTTGGGAAAAGCACATAAAGTCACTCTACAACTGCCGTGGCCGATTCAAAAACTCAGTTCTGTGCAATCACCTCCCACTTGTGTACCTTTGCGCCTTTGCTGCCGAGGCGGCGAAGCCGCCGAGGGCGGTGAAGGCTTTCCCAGCTTGGGGTCGGATCGATCATCAATCCCCTTCATGGGGTGGGGGGGTGGACTTGGAGAGGTCCGTTTCTGACCCACTCGGTTTTTGGGGCAGACTTGGAAGTAGTCTCGGCTGACCGCTTGATTTCTTCATCCGAGCTGGGAGACTGCAGGGCAGGCGAAGGCGCCACTGGGGCGCAGCTTGGACATGGCGCACCCAGCTGTGGGTGCTGCAGGCGCTGCAGGCAGAGAGTGAACCGGTTGGACCGAAGATGCAAGTAACATGAAGACATGATGGCAAACTGTTGCTGGGTGCACCGGGGCATTGTTTCCGGGCGTATTTTGCCTCAGTCTTCGTTTTTCTTTGAGGGCTTGGCGTGCCAGCCCAAAGGTTGCAGGGTGGTCTGCAGCTTTTGCACTGGTTCGCCCTTGCACCGTCATTGATCCCACCACTGTGGGGGCGCTAAAAGCCTCATCCCTGCGCTGCACCTCCCCGCCTGGCGCCCTTCGCCTCTCCAGGGGCGGCACCGGCCAACATCTCTCAGGCGGGCCCAGTGGTGCGAACGAACGCGGTCGCGCGGGAGTCGCCGGAGTCGCCCCAAGGGGGTTCCCGAACTGCGAACGCTGGTGGTGATCAGCCAGGAACGGAACCATCGACAGGGCGACAGGGCCGTTGAGGGTAGTGATGGTTCTACCGTGGCAAGTGGTACACTGTGCCGGCAAGGGAGGAGTTTCCCTTCCATGGGATTCAAGTGCAAGCCAAAGTTTGTTACATCCAATCATACTCACCCAGCAGGCAGAGAGAGAGAGAGAGAGGGAGAGAGAGCACTGAGTGGAATTGGTAAGGAAGCTGGCTTGGTAAGTGAACATGAACGCCGGGTGACGCCACGACGCCCTCCGAGTTGCGAGGATCCTTCGACCGTGGATGACCGGCCGCCGGAACTCACCGGGCACCGGCACGGTCACGGAACGGCCGAGGTGCTGTGGTTTCGCGAATGCGGCTGCACCGGCATAGAGATTGAGGTGGGAGCACTCCGTCAACAGGTCCCGTTTGAAGGAGGTGCTCAGCGCTGGAGAACATGATTCATACCACGAGGTTTGGTGGATTCTCGTGGCGAGTTGCAGTAGGCAGTAGTAGTGCCTGAGGACACTGGGGAGGTCACATGATCGTTGGCTCCACGAGCTCTGTCAGGGAGGTCCTGGCTGTTTTTTGGGTCGTCGGTCCTCGTTTTGAGACCAAGAGACCCTTGGTTTTGGATGGTGCTCCAGTTCGCCTGGAACGGTTTTTGCCCCGCAGGCAGTGACCTTGTTGCGCGGCCTGGTGTCCAGGAGATCAGCGGGGCGTCTCCCACGCGGGGGCGCTTGCTCTTCTCTTGTGGCGAAATCCCATGGGGCATGATGGGGCATGCATCATTGTAGGGGGGTTTCTTCTCCCAGCATTCTGGATGATGAATGTTCTAGATTCTAGGTTCCAGATGACACCCAACAACAAACCTCACCATTGCTATGAGTTTGCAAAAATGTGGGCTGTTCATTTGTGGTGCTGTGTGTTTACCCGCGACCTGTGAGGGTTGCTGAAAAAGGCACTCCGCCAGTTGTGTGCCCTTCTCATTTTGGGGTTCACGTCTCGTCCTTGTTTGATATGGAACACGGGGTTGCCGTGCTAAACAGAAGTGGAAACTCAGACACCACAGTAGATTCTACATACAGTACTGTATAGATTCCACCGCATAAAGTATAGATGAACCTCAATGAAGAGCCAGACGAAGTCACCGCAGCACAGGCGAGCCAGACGAAAGCCGGCAGCGGTTTACAGCGACACCGGCGCTCCGTCGCGTTGGGTCGATGCCAGGATGGGCTCCGAGAGGATCAAAACCAACCGATGTCAGCGGCACCCAGCGGAGCCGAGAGAGTGAGCTGTCCCATCCGAAACGTGAAGGGATGCGGCTGCGACCTGCTTCAGGGGGATGGGTCTTCTGGGAAGGGTCGGAGATGGTCCCGTGCATGTGTCACCCCCACGAGCCAGCGCTAGTGACTGCTAGTGGCCGCTAGTGGCGCCAGTGTGCTTCGGAGCCGGGTGGGGGGGTGCTTCGGAGCCGCGGGGCATTCAGTCTTTCACCCTTCAAACCGGGACTTCGGAGTGACCACGGGAGTCCTAGCAACAAGCATGGTGGTACCCTCCCTCCAACAAGCATGGAAGCGGCAAGCATGGCCCCTGGAAAGGCCCTATAAACAGGGATTGTCGACTTCCATGTGTGAGATATATGATGGACGCCTACATTCACCCCTGAAAATCATTATTATATAGGTAAGGTATTTTTCGGCCAGTCCCATGGATGGGCTCCCCCCAAGCTGTTGCACAGCGCAGGTGATTTGGTTGGAAAGGTCGGGCCTGTGGCTCTGAGTTAGTTCGTTTGCCCAGGCCTTGAGACCTGCAAGTGGCCGGCCGACGTGCAGGAGGCCGGGGCCACTCACCGGACCATGAATCATTGGACTTCGTAAACATGGAAGTGGAAAACCACCTGTTTGCGAGGAACAATTTTTTTTCTCCAGTGGCCAGGCCATCTACTCAGTGAGTCAGAGAGCCATCATCTTACTGTAAATGTGAGGGCTGTGGGAGTTTTGTTTTGCTGGGCTTTGCATCACGTCAAGTCTGAAACTGATGTTGGACCCTAATTTGTTTTGATGTTCACGGATTCTCGGTACATGTCAGATCGAGCTTGGAGGTGTTGAGGCAGATTTCCGTGGAGGAGGAGAGCCTTTTTCCATCACCCTTTCGGGAAAGCCGGGACGCAGAGAAACCGACCCAGAGCGGCGGGGAGTTCGCTGTCCGGCTTTGCTCCGGCTTTCCGGTGGGGAGCAGTGTCCACGATGACGTAGGCTGCATTGCAACTTAGCCTCTCCGGGTAATACGTTGGTGTGTATATACGCATAGCCATATATTGTGATCTTTTATATAAACATCAAATGTATGATATTACTCTTTTGTTATTTCTTTCTTCTTCATCACCATTTATTTTATATTTATATCTTATCAAAATAAATGGTGATACGAATATGCTGTCCTATCATTAAATTTAATATGACATTTATCCATGAAATTTAATGATAGATGGACCGGTGACTCTTGAATCCTAAGGGTGGAGTGGGTGAGGAAATCGATGAGGAGCGGCTATGAAATCGATTTCCTAATGTGGGCCCTATAAAATCCCTTGATAAGAAATGTAAATTTGTGAGGGATTTTATAGGGGATTAATAAGCAGGAAGTTTCAATATAGACATCACCATTAATTTTCATGAATAGATTTAGAGTCATCCTCAAGTAGATGGCCCATGGAAGGACCACAAACTCAAACAACAGAACCTTGGTGATGGTAGCCTCGTTTGCCATCGATGTTTCCGACGATGCGACTCCCAACGAGGTTCGCCGCACGCCATTGTGGTGGTGATCCACGCTGCCTTCCTGGGTGTGTGATCAGCTCAGGGGGAAGTGGTGCAATGAACTGTAACAACATTTAGCGCAGGAAAACACCACCATTTGAGTTTTTGGTTCACTGTTGAGATGATCCCGAAACGAAATGGGGGGCCCATCTCCTTCCTTTCCCCTGGAGTCTTGGCTGTGTGTGGGGGGCCTCCTCACGTAACATGGTCATGCGTGGTCCCGTTTCCGAATCTTGTGCAGCTGTTCCTCTGACGTGCTCAGGTGCGGCTTGAACCCCACTTTGGAACTCGTATTGCAGGCGAACGCAGACGCAGGGACGGCAGGTTAAGGCCTAGGCCTAGGCCCGGGCCCGTCATTTCTGTTCAGAGCCCCCCATGAAGAACAAGAGTGCTCGGTTTGATGGTCCAGGCACGAAAAAGGGACAACTGTTGAACCCGAACCGAATGTTTCTCCCGTGGCTGTAGCAGTGAAAAGTGCCATGGCTGTAGCAGTGGACTTTCTCCACCGATTTCCGATGCTCTGTTCCTTCATGTTCCTTCTAACGCCTGGACTTGAACTGGGCTGAAGAAGCTACCCATTCATGGCCCCGTACTCACAAAATTGGGCGCAATCACTCCAGCAAGTCCTAACACAATCTGATACAGCATTCCAAGCCGCAGCTGCTGGCTTGAGTTTCCTGGTCCACTGGTCCGACGGCGCCTGTTGGGCCCTCATCATTCTCATCCAAATGGTCCCAAATACTTTTTCCAATTCCATTAGGAATCTAGACTAAGATCATCTATATAAGACCCAAGCTGCCAAACTCCAATTTCTGAACTTTGCCCGCTCGACTGGCCGTGTTTTCGGCTCTGTAGCGCACCGGCTCGGGGTCCGACTTCCCCGACACGCGCAGCGCGGCGCGCAGCGCGGCGCACTGCCGCGGGCGACGCGGCCCGTGCTCGGCATGTGGCTTCAGCGGCAGTACGAGCCACGTTCGGACCCGATATCCACGGCTCAGCGTTAGCATGTTTGAGAAGGCGCGCATTGTTCGTTTGAGAAGTGAATATTTGGTCTATGTTGTTGTTGGTGGCTGTGTAGCCAGCATAGATCGACAGGATTTGCTGATTCTTGTCTGAGTGGGCACCAGCTATGCCATCGGCGCCTTTGGGCTGTTTTGTTTGTTGTTTGGGGTTCCAGGGCTGTTTGGGTCTTTGCCCATCCCATTTCGGTGGGTCTCTCGATCTGCAAGCCACCATCAAAACTGGGGGTTGGCCGTCCGAGGTATGGCGCCAACAAAACGCTGTCCCCTGCGATGCAGGGGAAGTCGCTTGGTGTTTGCAAGGGGTCGAGCCGGTCGTGGAAGTCGCTATGACGGGAGCGGGTTGGTCTGACGACTCAGTCTGAAGGGCACAGGAACTGAATGACTTTAACGGACTAGGGCACCGACCAACTCTTTGTGATGGTGTATGTTCCAGTGTAGTAAGTCAATCATTTAAAAGCGGGTGCCAAACATCGTAGGTGGACAAGGTGACCGCCCAGCTACAGTATACAAGGAGGGGTAAGGTGCTATAGTTTTGGACTTGTATGCAATTCGGACACCCCTCAACCTCCAGGATGACAAGTGGATTGCCTCTTAAAATGCCAGGTAAGCGGCTAGCAGTGTGATCAGTTTTCCCCACACGGCGGTATATGTGTCATTGGAACCCACAAGCCCAAGGCAATCTTGCCCAATCAACCCTCGCCCACATAGTGCTTCTCTGGTTGCAAGGCTCTGGTCCGAAGTCATCTCCAAGGAGGCGAAGGACCTGAGAAGACCACCCGTATTGAGGTGGTTTTCAGTTTTCACTATATATGTTTTTAAACTCCTCAGGGTTCACCTTTCTTGGTCTGGACATCCTGAACCCAAAGGACATTTGGTGGACTAGTCAACCAAATAAGAAGGGAGCAGTGTTTTCCTGGAGCTGCTCGTTGATGTAGCACTCTCATAATGCAGCACTCACGAACGAGGAGAGAAAGAGAGAGAGAGAGAGACAGAGTCAGAGTCAGAGTCAGAGTCCGAGTCCGAGTCCGAGTCCGAGTCCGATTGATGATGGATGTGGCATTCTTTGAGCCAACACCTCAAACATGAAGCTCAATGGAAACATGGAGGATACTACGCAGAGTTCGGCTGAACAATGACAGTGAATAGTATGGGTGATAAAGCAGTTTTCATAGGTTTCCCTTCCAAGAGCTCCCGATGCTCAGAGCTCTTCAAACCAAGCTGCCTCTGCTGCCCGAGGACCACCCGAGCCATGCCCTGAACACGCACCCCACGCTGCGGCGGAATCACCTGGAACCCTTGGGGAACCGGAAGGACTGGAGCACAGCTTCGGGTTTAGGGGCTTCGATTCAAGCAGATGAGAGCACTGTGGTTTGGATGCTGATTTTTGTTCATTCATGAACCGCCTGTGGTCCATTTCCAGGTACACCACCACTTGTCACACTTCTCTTGTCCACAAGAACTTGACATGTGCTTTGTGGTACGCCTTGCTTTTCCAGTGGGTGCCTCTTTTTTCTAAGAACCGACTCCTGGCTGGTCCTTCTTCCACAACCGGATGAGCGCAGAGTGCGTTCGCCAGCGGGGCGCGTGGTTGTGAACGCCGCCACCGCTCCGCGGCGCGCGGTGAACTCGGTGCGCGGGTGGAGAGACCCGTTGGCTTGGCTTCTTTTGGTATCTCTGCGTGAGACCCACGCCGCGCGATGGGTTTCACTCGACTTTTTGGGGCGGGCCATGAGGGGCAAATGAGGGGCAAATGAGGGGCAAATGAGGGGCAAACGGCTGCCGGCTTGATCATTTTTGTAAGGTTGCCGGCGAGAGTGTTTCTGAGATGTGTGGCGACTCGGGCGCATGTTCGGTGAACCTTGCCTGTGCTTCTTTCGCCAAACGTCTCGGAGGACTTCTTCAACAACTCGTGGTGTGCCATCGCGCGGCGTGACTTGGACCTAGGACGTAGCCCGTGGCAAATCGGAGGTCCAACAATTGGGGACATCTTCAACCAGTCACCCTCAAACCTGAAAGCTGCACAAGTGTCCTGTTGAGCTAGCGTGGCCATTGAAGGGGCCGCCAGGAGGGGCTCATCTGCACACATGGCTTTCTCCCACATTGCAGACTGGTCACGTGGCCAGTTCACACCCACAAGAAACAACTGGAATAATTTGTGAGGAAATGGTGGCCTCCAGTGGTGCAGGAAGTCGGCCATTGTTGAAGTGGATGCTGGGGAGGTATGTATGTCCATCAAGGACATGAGGATGCACATTTGTGCAACTCATGCAGAGTTTCGTTCGGTGTGGCGGGAGGAGTCCTTGTTGTCCATCTTCAGCACTTCAGCAGGTGAACGATCAACTTTTCTGCCCAAGATGCATGGACCTCATCAACCCGGCTCAGAAAACTGCAGCCAGGCTATCACCAGGCGGCTGGTTGCCCTTCCCCGTTCGTGGACATGTCTAGACGCCCGGGGCCCCGGACTTTGGGACCGGTCGAGCGCGAGGGCCGCGCGAGGGTTGGATCTTTGTTTGGCGTGTGTGCGAACATGATGCGCGCAGCCAATTTGTATTTCGGGCACCTGCTGGTGAAGGGTTGTGCCAACTTGCAGCAGTTCAACTGCTCGGAGAAGCTTGCACTTGCTCTCTTCAGGTTGAAGGCTGGCACTTGTTGAGTGCATGTTCACACGGTCACGTGTGTGTGACGCCTTTGCCAGAAAACATGGTGCTTACGTTTCAAGACCTGCCTCAAAGACCTGTCACGAAGCACAGCACAGGCTACATGGGCCTCGAGGAGCTCCCGTCGCGCCCTGCCACTGGCACGGGCTTTGCTGCCACACAGGCGCTAGGATTTGCGGATATCGTCAACGCTCCAGGAACATCCCACCCGGTGCATGCTCTCTTTGTGGGAGATCTTATATACACTATTTTATATATATATATATCAATCAATGCCGCGTAACCTTCATGGTGGACTGATAGTTCAATTGTGGCAATCAACAGAAGGAAGACTTTCCGACAATGAGCGATCTGGCGATCTGAGCCATGAGTGATTTGTCCAACTTGTCTGGATCAGGCGCCTGAGTACCTGCCAGCGCGTCCGGCCTGGGATGCCGAGCTGGACTGGTCTGGAGGTTCTGGAGTTCTTGGATGAACAACACCAACCCATCCAAGGAAATCTAGAAGCGAACGTAGAAGCGATGGCCTCCAACCTACTAGCGACGGCCTCCAACCTAATAAGAACAAAACCAACCCGTCCAAGAAGTTGATGCAACACGGACATACGAGTGATCAATGTAGACCAAGGCTATCCGGCCAATATCCTATCTTTTTTGAATGCGAGCCGGGGAGAATCTTCAGAAACTTTCAGAGATAAGTGGGTGTTTTGATGTGTTATGTGTTGAAGGCAAAGGCAGTTCCACTACGAAAAAGATCTCCAAGAGAAGGACTTTTTGCATGTCATTGTTCATGTGCGATTCTCGCTGGGACGGGCCCTCGTGTGGCATATGCGATCATCTGTGGCATGGCCACTTTAGGGCACTTCTCCCGTGAATCATCTACACGGAGGAGATGTCACACTCCCCAAGTTTGGTGGTTCACATGGACTCCCACATTAAAGACATCTTGGGGTGCCAGTGCCACCTACTCTGAAACCACTGTACTACTAATAGTTACCAAGTTGGCATTCGCCACAAGTGTACCAACATGACAGCGTTAGATTGACCATTTCTGGTCGCCCCCACCGTGATGGATCGGCGCCGGACGAGGCCACCGGCAGCGTGCAGTCGTTCCGCTCACAGCGCTCGAGGCGTGGGTTCACCCGAAACCCGGGCATTTTCGATGACTCCAGGGTTGAAGCTTTGAGCATGCCATCGAACCCAGCAATTGCGGGAGCTTTGATCCTTTGTGGCTTTTGATCCTTGTGACTTGTGGGCTTGATGGATTTGAGTGGTTCTTTGGAAGATAGAAAGGCTCCGATTCATGCCCTTGCTGCCCATTAGAGGCAGAGATTCAGGCGGAATGAAGAGCTCCCCACTCTGTTAGATCTCTGTTGGAGCTGTTTCTGGTGCCTTCGAGGTCCTCCTCTCGAGCTGGGACGCCCCTCCGGTAATCCGCAGCTTTTGAGACACAGCTCTGCGGCCGAAAAGGGTTTCGCACCCGGGGATTGGTGCAGATCCGTGAGAGTTTCTGTGGTGCTTGCAAGTGTTTTCGTTCCAATTCAGAATTTCGGTCCTTCTTGTGTAAAAGCTCAAGTACGGATGTTGTTTGAGCTTTCAGATGGGGTCGCACCCATCTGCACGGGTGGGGACGTGGCGGCCATTCCATGAGCTGTGATCACTCCGAACTCCTGTGGGTGTGGGTCAAAACCATGAGTATTTTCAGGTAGACGATTCTGTTCCTAATTCGTGCTGCTTTGATCCATCTCCATGTACCCAGTTGACCTCAGCATGAGGTCTACAGCCGGCTGTTGTAGACAGGCTGGCTCATCAGTTTGACCTGCGGTCTTGACGCGGAGTTCCCGTACTTAGTGGAGAGATTGTGACGGTCCGCACGTCGAGAACCGCAAAGCCAGTAGATGAAGTGCGAGAGCCACGGTCATTCAGGTGTCACCCAGCTGTAAAACACAGCGAAACACAGCTCCGACTAGGCACGCATCCTTGCTGGGGCAATGAGTTTGGAAAAACAGACATCTCTCCCGGCTACGGCTCATCAGACACAAAAGTTCTGTCCATCAAACGCATTTTACTGTAACTCCTCCAATTTCTGAGCTTTCCCCACCGTGCTATTTTTTCCTCGGCCCCAGTTGTGCAACCTAGTGCCGGACTGTGGTGCTTCGGGAGAAAAGAGACCCCCCGCTGCCGAAGACCAAGGCCTAAAGGCTTGGCCTTGCAGGTCTATATACTCTGCATGCATTTTGGTCCTGTTGGTGTGGGTATCCTGTCACTGGCAGCGGCTCAAGCTGATATGGGCCAGTTCATCCTGTAGCGCACATTTTTTTGGGTCACCTCGCCCAACTTCGTGAACTGCGTGTGTGCCTCAGTGTATGGAAGGCCACATCAAGATCCCAAGCCCCACTTTCAACAAAAACTGAATGGAAAACTGAATGGCTCGGAAGAGTTTTCTTTTGCTTTGCAATGGTTTCTTTGTGAAAACACCAAAAGAGGCCCTCCTCTCTGCTCAGGTCCAGGAATCCGTGATTTCTGGAGTCGCAATGTCTGGGGCTCTCAGGGCGACCATCAGAGACTGAGAGACCTGCTTTCCCCTCAGATATATAGCGGGGTAGCACTGGGCGCTCCATGACTTGGCAGACACAACGAAGCGAAGGAAGCGAACGAAGCGGGGGTATTGGCGCTGGACAGAGACATCGGACGTCCGATGTGCGCTTTGGAGGAATGTGTTGATCCTGGGTTTTGGGTTCCAAACCCTTTTTGGTTGGGATGAAGCACCCAAGGACTGGCATTGATTGTTAAGGAGGTTGAAGTTGAAACCACCAAACTAGTGATAGTTAGGAAGCCCAGATCAGGCGCGGTGATTGGAGGTTTTATGGGCTTTTCGCCTCCAATCACGACACGCCAGACCTGAACCTTCCCACCGAAATGGATGTGTGCGTTCACCTGGAGCCTGAGTGACCTCTATTTTGATACTTATAGCGGATGACCATACCTTGGGAGCTTTCATGGTTCAAAATAGAAGTCCAATGGGCTCTAGGTTTACAACATGTATATACAACATGACAGACAGACACACACTCACACACACACACATACGGAGGGGCTAGACTGCAAAAACTATAAGGCCGTGTTACTTGAGACCCGTTCAGACATGCTTCACCTCCCATCGCGCACCTCCTAAGGCTTCTTTGGTTGGCCACGCTGCTGGCGACCGGAGATGGAGTGTCTTCCTCGGGCGGGTGACCGGAGCTGGGACAACAGAACGACTTGCGGAGTCATGCCAGAGGAGGGTTGATGATGGTTGAAAATGAAACCCCATATCAAAGACATTTTGGGGTGCCAGTGCCATCGAAGTTCTGAAACCAGTGTATATCTGCCTGGTCACCCGTTGGGTTCCCGTATTTGTCTATAGCGATCATAGCTTCACCCTAGTATAATCCATCGGTTTGGGCGCTGCCTGCCGTTTTGCCCAAACCCAAATGTGTTGCAGGTTCTGTGGTGGTTTGCACCATGCCTTCCAGTCTCCCCATTCCAATGCACACCTTTTGCCCGGACCTTGATCACGCTGCCACGGTCCTCAGGTGAGCCTACAAGCGCAACGCAATGGCTTTATGAGCCGCTCGCTGGATGGAGAGTCTCACTCGCGGCCTTCAAGTAGTGATTGGTATTGAACATTATTGAAAGCATGTGGGTTTGATGTAGGGCTGCGCACAGTTGTAGCTATATGCACCACCCTCCAACCCCTAAATTCTACCCATAGCCATAGCATCTCACTGACTGACATCGATTGAATTCCTTCAAATCCTGCCGTAGTGACGTCCGGTGACGCCCTCCCGTCGGCCGACCGCCGGGGCCAGCGGTCGGCATGTCTGCAGCGTGTCGGTCCGTGTCGGTCGCGAACCGGTGGGAAGGAACCGGCCTTTGGGGAAGGTCTCGCGAAGCTTCTGAAGGTCTCTCGTTCATTCCTGTTGTGTCCTGTTAGGAAAACACCTTCCGGTCTCTCCAGTGTCCTGGGCATTCACTGGAGCTGGCAATGACAAACGTGCTTGAAGAGTGAATCCGCTCCAGAATATTTAGGATTTTTTACCTTGGGGTGACTACTTCGATCAAGGACTGCAGATAGATCCCAGCCATCCACATGGTCATGTTTCGACGTGCCCCACATTCTAGCATAGCTTATATAAGAAGATGTTTATGACCCAATTATCCCTAGTTTGGTCGGCAGCGCCCAGAACACATCACGTGGGAGAGCAGCGTCCAGAAACGCCGCGAAGCCTTCGGATGGTGGGCGCAGCCTCTGCGTTCAGTGCTTTCAGAACTTCGATGGGGCACCCCAAGATGTCGATGATCATATGAGCACCCCATTCTTCAACCACCCAGCAACAGGGGGTCCTTGTGCGATCTACTCTGAAACCACTGGACCGCTCCAAATGGAATCCCATGACCGCAGCAGATCCGCTGGGACCGACCGCAGCAGATCCCAAGGTATGTCGACCCTGGCCCGGAGCCAGGAGCTCGGATGGAGGGCATGACATTCAGCGGAGTGCATGTCTGCTGTAGTTCCTAGTTGTTTGGAGCTCATGTAGTAATTTTGGAGTTCTTTGTTGGGAGGGGGGGGTACGTGTGTAGCAAGATTCAATGGGGCGAGCGGACCAGTTGCATGATTGGGTGCTAGCAGTGGCAGTTTCATTTCCTTCAATGCGTGGTGATCTCCTAGCTAGGAGGTGCCGCGACCAGCTCCACCGCACGTGTGGTTTCGACACGTCGACATACCTTGACCCCGGCAGCATCAGTGCTGGTTCAACGACCGCCCGTGGTGAAGCATCAGTGCTGGGGATCTTCCCGAAGAAAAGGAACCCCAGATGATCCGACGCGTCGACGGTGGGAGGAAACCGGCCCGAAGGTGGCGTGCCTTGACCCACTTCCATATATAGACCCAGGTTCTTGGGTCGGGCGAACGGGCGAGTTTGCGATTTGGGCGGTGTCGGCCCTGAACATGAGGTGTGGACTACTTCAACCCCACCTTTGTAGCGCCCCAGCTGACGCCGAAGCAGTTCCTCATCATCAGCAGCCCCTCCCAGCAGAAGATAGCCCCTCAGGATGCAAAGGATATGTTTGATGGGCTATGTGGCTAAAAGTTCAGGTGGCTATATACTTGGCCAATGTAGACTAGATTATATATAGATGATTTTCAACCAACCCTACTTTTACATCTTCAGTCCTGGGGGGTTTTAATTCATCCACCGTTTACATCCAGTTTTTGGTCTCCTAGTCGCTTCAAGAAACCCTTTGGACATTGGTGTCCCAGAGCTAGGATCACTGGGGGCAAGCCGCGAACATGTCCGCGGTAGGTGTTCTGGTGGTTTTGCCACAGACGCTTTTGGAGTGGCTGTTCTTGGTCTGGGCATCCTGGTTTCGTTTGGGGTTTGCTTTCCACTCCCCGGGAGCTTTGCTTTCCTGAACTCAATGTGAGCTCAAGCGACTCGGTGGGCCACACGATTCCAGGTGTATACCGAGCTCAAGCGACTCGGTTCGCAGCGATGGGTGCGGAGAGCGCTCGGAGGGGGCCACGGAGAGCGGAGTGAGTTTCTTCTCCGCAGCAAGGGGTTCAGACGCACAGGTCCAGGTGAGTCCTTGATCATGGCCTAGGGGCCTAGCTAGGGGCCTAGGGTGCCATGGCCCATGTGACTGTGGATCAAGGCCCACAAGCGAACACCTGCGAATGAGCAGAAGAGCGTTGCTCTTGTTTCATGGTTTTCGCAGGGTGGTTTTCGGGTGTTGCTGCTATGCGAACAGCTGCTTTCGCCCTTCCGACCCGATCAGCCCGAACCGTGACCACCGACTTCCCCAAGAATACCCCCCCACAAAAAACGCGCGTTTCCGGACCAGAGGTTTTTTCGGGGGACCTGCCTCAAACCACCGGCTCCCGCCGGAACTTCCCTGTGGCGTTCACCGAGGAACTTCAAGTCCACCACCGGGCGCACCTTTGCGCTCATCGACTCGGGCTTGGTGCAGCCGGAGGGCTTGGCGCTGGATCACGACCGAGGGGCGCCCGGGAGCTCAGGGAGGTGGGGTAGCTGTTTCAGATTCTCGGCGCCGTGTGAGCCCTTGTTTTGGGGGGGTACCAGTTGGGTAGAATAGGGGATATATATATATATGTACATATGGGGTCTGTCCTATTACCTATAACTGTCAGTAAGCTTTTATTACAGGTAATAAGATAGACCCAATGTACATATACATACACACATAGTTACTATAGTTGCTTATAGCTCTTCGGCATACATACGTGCACAGACACACAGAGATATACACGTTTTAATGGTCTTTACCTAGTATCAAGAGGAATTCATACCTATTTAGTTGGAGGTCGCCACAGACAACGCAGTATTTGCTTGGACACCCAGAGCCCTCCGCGCGCACACGCTCTTCAAGGCTTTATGTGGCTGACAAGGGTGCCAAGAAGATCCTCCGCTTTCATGTGCAGCTTAGCCAAGTCTCCAGCTCAGGAGCTGGTAGCAATTCGTGTCTGTTGATAAATGAAGCCTCCATTGGGATTCGGGATTGTAAAACTGTTTCACATGGAGGGATTTTCTGAATCAACAGCCTACATTAGTAGAGCGAAATGCCACATGTGTAGGTTGGCCTCCACTGGAAGAACTGGATGACCGGGATGCCAACGCTAGCAACGGGCGCTTTGACCCCTCCTTACATCCATGGACTTTTTTTCCTTCACCGTACTATTCCTATCGCATGAGCGATGCAGAGATCTTCTGGAGTTTCGAGGACAGATCGACCCCTTGAGGTCAAAGCCTGGAAGGGTGAAGTCCCCCGTTCACGTGGGGTGAAGTCCGCCCTCATGGCCTCTGGTAATTCTGGATGTCAGAATGAAGCATCTCATAGCCTCTCATCCTTCTTTTTTCCTTCGCTTCCTGGTTGTCCTTCACTTCTGATTACGGCTGACCTGGTCAACCTGGTGGACCGGACAATGGAGAGGCTCGCCCTGCATCAAACCGGTACAACCCGCGGATGGTGTTTGGTGTGGGGCAAACCTTGTTAAACAGAAACACCATCAGTCCACACCGTGCGAACCTTCGGACGATGGGGCGGGATGGGGCCTTCGGACATCGAGTTGTTTGTGCTTCGTCATTCTCACATCAATCCAGGTATGTCCAAGACAAGGGCAACGGCTTACAGTTGATCACTGATAACGTGCAGCTTTGCATCATGCAGGCGAGTTCGCCAATAGGTTGGGAGCCGTGCTTTTCTTGCTACTGTATTTGGTTCAAGCTAAGTCCTGAGCCCTTGGCTGTCTCAGATTGCTGGTTGGGGAGTGTGCCCCAAGAATGCAGCCCTCTCAACAAGCCTTGAGCGGATTTCTTCTCCTTTCCCGCAGAATGCTGACACTTCCTGGGTCAACGTGGACATCAACGGTGACGTCTTCTATTCCGACGCCACCACGAAGACCATCAACAGGCCCGGGGGGCCTCCCGGAGACCGACGTAGAACGCGGAACGCGACCGTCGCGGTCACGGGACGGGGCGCGTGCCGAACGTTTGGACACCTAAAGATCACCTAAAGGACCACCTGGGTCACGAAGCGATTTCGTCCGTCATGACGTGTCGAGGATCCCCGTCGGGGTGGTGGAAATGATGGCCAAGGGCCAGTACAGTGCCAGTCGGGGCTCTTAGCAGTGATGCTCTGGGCTTGCGCGTCACAGGTGGGCTACGTAGGGCTTGGAAATGTCTGGAGACCCCCATGGACGGTTGACGGACAATGGCTACCCGTCTTTTTTTGTGGTCTGGTTGCTTAGGTGCGAATTGTTTCACGGTCCTCTCTCAAGCTGAGGGTGCTCAAAACTGACCGGCATTCAAATTTCATCTGCTTTTCCCATACACACGGTGTTATACGGGACAATGCCATTTTTGAGACACACCCACCATGTAGTAGAACAAGATGGAGCCCACGAACCCGAATGCAAACACGTTCAAAAAGCTACATCTGTCCAAATGACACTCTTGTAGGACACTCTTGTGGGACACTCTTGTGGGGCACTCTTGTGGGACACTGTTGTAGGAAGCTCTTGTGGGACACTCTTGTAGGACACTCTTGTGGGACACTGTTGCGGGACACTCTTGTGTGACACTCTTAAGGGACACTCTTGCGGGACACTGTTGCGGGACACTCTTGTGGGACACTCTTGTGGGACACTCTTGTGGGACACTCCTGTAGGACACTCTTGTGGGATACTCTTGTGGGACACTCTTGCAGGACACTCTTGTGGGACACTCTTGTGGGACACTCCTGTGGGACACTCATTTGGGACACTCTTGCGGGACACTCTTGCGGGACACTCTTGTGGGACACTCTTGTAGGACACTCTTGTGGGACACTCTTGTGGGACACTCTTATAGGACACTCTTGTAGGAAACCCTTGTGGGATACTCTTGTAGGACACTCTTGTGGGACACTCTTGTGGGACACTCTTGTAGGGCACCCTTGTGGGACACTCTTGTGGGACACTCTTGTGGGACACTCTTAACTCTTGTGAGACACTCTTGTGGGACATGGTTGCGGGACACTCTTGTGGGACACTCTTGTGAGACAGGGACACTCTTGTGGGACACTCTTGTAGGACACTCTTGTGGGACACTCTTACGGGACACTCTTGTTGCACACTCTTGTAGGACACTCTTGTGGGTCACTCTTATGGGACACTCTTGTCGGACACTCTTGTGGGACACACTTGTGGGACACTCTTGTGGGACACTCTTGTGGGACACTCATACGGGACACTCTTGTGGGACACTCTTGTAGGACACTCTTGTGGGACATGCGGGACACTCTTGTAAAAAACTCATACGGGACACTCTTGTGTGACACTCTTGCGGGACACTCTTGTAGGAGACTCTTGTGGGACACTCTTGTGGGACACTCTTGTGGGACACTCTTGTAGGAAACTCTTGTGGGATACTCTTGTAGGACACTCTTGTGGGACACTCTTGTAGGACACTCTTGTGGGACACTCCTGTAGGGCACACTCTTCGTACGAGACTTCCTCCAAAAGTCACGCTGCGAGGCTGCAAGACGAGCGTTTCGTACGAGACTTCCTCCAAAAGTCACGCGTCAAGTCTCAAAAACGAGCGTTTCGTACGAGACTTCCTCCAAAAGTCACACGTCAAGTCTCCAAAACGAGCGTTTCGTACGAGACTTCCTCCAAAAGTCACATGTCAAGTCCCCAAAACGAGCGTTTCGTACGAGACTTCCTCAAAAACTCACATGTCAAAGTCTGCAAAACGAACGTTTCGCACGAGACTTCCTCCAAAAGTCCAGCGGAAACACCCATCGGAGCGCACACATCACGCAGCCCTGCCAAGCAGTTTCGCGATTCCAGCCCCTCCAAACGACGCCCGCTCACACGCCAATCCCAATGTGACAGCGACATTCACCTCTACCAGGCGCACAAAGTACTGCGCCTGCCACGAAATGTCACCTCCGTCACACCTCGCAACCTCACGATTCCCTGCGCCTGCCACGAGAATCGCACTTCCACACCTCAAAAGCCGCACAAAGTACTGCGCCTGCCACGAAAAGTGACAATATCATCTCATGTGAGCTTCGACAAAATTTGCACCACACCACACGTTTGGAATGATTTCGACCCGTTCTGAGCACACTCCCATCCACCAAAATCGGCATTTCAGCTGAGACTTGTCACGAAAACAGAGCTTCGATGCCACACCCTGAAATGCAAATCCCAATGGCACGGCCACATCCAACACCCCAAAAAACACGACTCTCCAAACGCTAATCCCAATGGAACTGCGCAGCAATCTGCAGATCTCACAAACCACTGCGCCTGCGCAGCGAAACGCATCACGTTTCTTGCGCGACATCTCATTTTCATGCAAATCACAGTGGAATAGCGGCGCAAACTGACACGTGACACATCCATGCATAGTCACTTGCAAAAGCTTCCCCCAATGGCAGCGCCTTAGCGCTCTACCGCGAACGGTTGCGGACGGTTGCGGACGGCTGCGAACGGTTGCGAACGGTTGCGAACGGTTGCGGACGGTTGCGAACATAGAAACAAAGGGTCGCGAACAAGGCTCTACCCCCAGACCCCCAAAGAGTTAAACGAGAACCCTTCGCTACGCATTCGGGAAAAAGCACAGCGTGTAACGGACACCGTGGGCTTGGAGGGTCTGCGTGAAAAACACCGAGCCATCTGGTCAAAGGAAACCTCATGCGTGGGTGGCGCCTGACCCTCTGCCCCGTGGGGCCCGATGGATCGGTGACCTCCGAGGTGACCTGAACCTCATCTCCGAGAAAACCTTGGAGACTGGCCGCTTGGGTGGCAGATTGAACATGGCACAGCTGGAATATGATGATTGGGGCACTTGTATGTACTTGATGAGGCTCAGCTTGTTGGATATTGGTAGCAAAACTGCTTAGACCTAAGTTCTGTAGCCTGGTTAGGAAGGACGCTGGTCAACGGCTACCCCTTATGCCTCGAAGTGGAACCATTGCCGCAGGGCTTGCGAACCAAATGGTTTCCACTTTCAAATCAATACTTTAGCAGTAACGAGTTAAACCACTGACACACTAAGTTTACCCAAGTCCCCTTCCAGCAACACTCCTTTCCCTAGCAGTCCTGGTGATCACCATAATGGGCAATCAATGGCTTTTCAGACCAATTGAAATTTCAACCCGGCCGTTCTTGGACCAGTGTTTTCTGCTGAAGCACAAGAACTCTGACGTCTGTTATCCCACTCAGAAGAGCCTCAAAATCATAGCTCCTGTTGACAAGGAGTATCCACTAAAAAGCCTCACACGTGGAAGCGCAGGGGAGCTCAAGCTCTGAGCTCTGATGACTAGACGTTCCCTTGTTGCACCATCCAACTGCTCTTGAGAACTTCGTTCCATGGGCCCCGCCGCGATGCCGTGGGGCGAGCCGCACCTCAAGGTGGAGGAGCCACCTCGAATGTGGCGGCCTCTCGGTTTGCCGGTGGCCCCAAGTGATGAGGCTTTTGGTATCAGGAGTTGGTGATGGCTTTTCATGGCCTGTGGATTTCCTTTGATTTGGCCTATATAGAAGTAATATTTGTGTATATATATATATATATACACAAGTATGTATAATGCATTCTTTTGGATGGGCTTCCCTAGATTGAGGCAGAACACTATATCCCTTCTTGAGACTCTTTCAACATCATTGAAAGCTAATCCAGCGAGATTTGTGCAAGGGGCTTGGCCATCAATGTCAAAGTGACATTAATGTGAGGAACGCACAATGTAACATTTACCTTTGGGCTTCTCTCATCCGTCCAGAGGTTGACAATGCCCCTGAGCCAGATTGTAGCCATGAGATGTGCCAAAATGTCCCAGCTACTTAGAATAGAGGTGCGTGAGGTGCGTGCAGTTCATGTGATTAGAAAGTTCATGCTCAAAGGATTCATCAACCTCACGATTGAGGCCGCACTTTTGGACCATAGGCCAGCAAGAAGGTCGGACTGCACCCAAGAAGCGGAAGAGCAAGGCGGGCTATCTACTCATGAGCCTCCTGAGGTGCTGTTGCCTCACATTTCCGCCACATACAACCCGCGTGATGTCATGTAGTCTTCTGAACCACCTGCAGACCCACCTGCAGACCATCGCAGACTAAGTCAGCCTCCTCCCCATCCCAAGGCCACACGACGTTTCGAGCCAAAACGCCGGGCCGCGGGCGGCCCAGGTCTTCTCCCTTTACGACGGAGCGATGAACCCTCACGTGGGGACGCCCGCTGGCTTGGTCTCAGACGGCGCCAGGCGCCCCGCGGTCCGCGTGGCGGAGCCCGGCGTCGCGGGGATCATCCGAGCCGATAGAACATTGGAACGACGCAGAGAAGACTAGGGTGGCCCCGGCGCAAGGATGATACGCACACAAATCGAGAAGTGTACCAAGTTTTTTTTTGGGGGGACACTTCTACCAAGTCAACGCTTTTCAATGTTCACTTTGCCCCAGCGATGGGCACCTGAGGGATGTTTGCAGACTTGTCATCCCCGTAAAGTGTATGCAGCAAGACTGCAGTGCGAAAGTTAGAGGCAAGGTGTTCCCTTCCTGGTTTGGCTGCTTGGCTGACACAAGACTGCGTACAGTACACGTTCCCCCGCTTGCTGATGCAACAGACGCACATAAGATAATTATGAGTACTCGAGTATTGATCCAGCAGGGGTCGTTTGGGTCAGTGCAAGGAAACTCAGTAAAGACACGGTAGAAACGACGACCTGGCACCCTGGTGTGGCACAGGGACAAACAAACAATTAAAGATTTAGGATATCTATGCTATACACTACAGAGAGAGAGATACACACACACACACACACATATATATATATATACATATCTGATACGTGTACAACTTTTTTGGGGGATGAATGAAGGAACGTAAAGAAAAGTTGGTTGGACTTTGCCGGCCAAAGTCCTTTTGATGTTTGTAACTGGGGTGCTGAATGAGCAAGGGGCCAAGTATTCCAATTCCAATGAGCATCCGTTTGCTCTTGCCCAAGCATTTGCAGGCTATACTGGACCAACATGGACAAGGGGAAGAAGAAAGGTTCTGTGGTGCAGGGAGAGGCCAGCTGGAATCCAAATCTAACAGTGACCGTCCTGCCAATGGTGGCTTTCAAAGGTATAATAGCTAAGCTAGCTTGGTGGGCTGCGTCCTGACCATGTCGGGGGGGCTGCTGGCGGAAAGATGTGAAAAAAGCTGTGGGGCCTGTGGCAGGTCTCGCCCAAGCTCCCGAGTGGCAGCGACAAGACAGCCAGCTTTCCCTCGACCATGCTCAGCAACGCGCTACCTGACTGAAGGTCCTTTGTGTGGGCGTGAGCCCAAACTACAGTCCTAAGCATTCCGAATGAGCAGGCGGTAATGAGTTTTCAGTTGGTGCTTTCCTCCCGGCTCAGTTTTGGAGAGTTCGAATGGGGAGGTGAGTTCACGCAAGGCGCTTCCAAGGTGTTTCCTGTGAAACAAAGGTTGCTTTAGTAGAGGTATGGGCGCCTGTAAGCAGCCGTGTGGTTGGCGATTTGGATCACCTGTGTTTCCTGACACAGTTTTGGAGCCTTCCAGCTAGTTTGCAACGACACCGTTGCCGAAGCAAGTTTCTATTCTTTTCTTCTCCCAGTGTTTTACTACAGTATCGCGCTGTTTTCGAAGTCTAGTATATAGTTTTGCCTCGAGAGTTTCAACGCACACTTTCGCCAGACCTTGCCACATGCTAGAGTTGGTTCTCCAAAACAAATGCTAAAGTTCGCAATAATTGTGTTTGAGCGATTGGCGGGGGCAAGCGCGCCTGATGCTTTTGGCTTGTCAGGACGTGGCAGTGTCTCCACATATATAGACCCTTTCATTTTTTCGAAACAACCTAGCATAGTTCCATTGGCTCCAAGAACGAAGATGATCCTGCTCCACATTACTGGTGGCATGGGGTTCCAGCCTGGGAGGACTTCTGATAGAATGCTTTTAGGATTCTAGGGTCTTGCTTTTGCCCTGAAGATCCTTTTCTTGCCTGATTCAAATCTAGAATATTTATGGCATCCAATTGCTAAACTAATAACCAAGGTCTGACATTGGCTACGGCATGACGAAGTGGAGCTCTTGGAAGGGTTCCGGGCAGAAGAGCAAGGCATTGCCATTTTCTGTTCAGGGCCAGCGAATGACTTGAAGTGATTGCAAGGATTTCTGCGACCTGTGACATGTGAAACATCACTTGGGTGATATTATTCTCTCTCTCTCACACGCAATCACACGTATATATGTATATATGTATATAGTATAATATATGCATCCCACTACAGCTTCATCAACCAATGTGAATGGACATAGGATAAGGGCTGAAGGGAGCAAAACACAACTCATAAAAGTTGATAATTACCGGTCTACAGGCTCAACACCGAGCCTAGGCGACAGCGGGGGAGGCCCGACGGGAATCACGCGACAGCTGGAGCACACGCATGATAGCTGCATTAACCCCAAAACAAAAGCTACAGGAACCAGCAAATCAAGAACGCTATAAGGTAGACTCTTGACAAATAAAGAGGTTTTAAACATCCAAATGGGGTTTTCTTAGTAATCAAGAGTCTACAATATATTGCTGGTGACGGGTGAGAGCACGACAATCCCTCCGCTTCCAACCTCTCCCATTGACCAGGTTTTCAGGGTGTGCGGGGGGGTGTCAGGGCAGGCCATAAGTGGCCATGTGACCTGGGCCCAGCGAGGTCCAGCAAGTACGTCTTCCTGAGTGCGGAGGAGAACGGTGTGGGCGTGGTCTCTGGAGCGTCCCGGACGAATCCGTCGGTGAGATCGGTTCGACACCTGGAGTGGAGTGGAGTGCAGGTCCAGGAGGTCCAGGACCTTCTTTCATTGGGTCCCGCCATACAAACTCTGTATATAATTACCCAATGAGGTCAAGGACCAGGTTTTACTGGGTCCTGGGACCGGCAGGGCATGTTCTGGGTACTCAATCACGAGAAGTTCTATCATGTTCCATCTCATTTTGGTTGGATAGCCCGACCTGTGGCTGCTATGATTATTTTTTGAGGGATGGGGGTAACAGTTTCGAAAAGTCGTGTTTTGACATGAGTTTCAGTCTGGACATGGCAGCTCAAGACAGGAGGTGTGCTTGCCTTTGTCAAGGGCTTAAGACAGGGTTGTCTTGCAACTGGCCATATCGTTAGTGGAACGAAGGCCATTGTTTACATACTCATAAGATGCACTAGGGCTACCAAGGGAAGTTTGGGCCCCAAGATTGATGCCTCCTACTCCACTCACTCTTAGGTACGATGGCGCTGGGACTTTTCAAACTTTTCACACATGGGGTCTATATTCAGGAGGGTCCCCCAGCTGGTCGGTTCACAAAAGAAAGGCTGCTCGGCCAACCCCCGGTCACCCAGGTGACGCCTCAGGGGGCCACCTTCGACTTCGTCACAGGGCTTTCAGGGCCCCGGGGCCTTTGCTGGGATGGGGATCAGACGATCTTCGTGGCGGATGAGGCCGGGTGGCCGTAGGGAGGGCCAGGGGGTTCAGGGTGGACGGGGAAAGGTGGGTATAGGCGGTATAGGATTGAAGTATCAACTGTGGTGGGTCTCTCATCTCTCTAAGTGATGTTTGCTAGCCAGCAATGTCAATAGTTCAAAAGCCTCTCAAGTTGCAAACAGTTCACCTGCTTCACATCCACTTTTGAGATTTACTGTAGCTGATTCTGCCAAGCCGGATGCCGATTGGATCATCAATCATCCAAGCCCTTTGCATAAATCATCTAATGACCAACCGATACGGTGCTTGTGCTCATGAAAGCAGTTGTGGTTCCCATATGGCACCCCTTCCCCCTGGTTAGAGCAAACTCCGATGTGGCCCAGCTTTTCGAGCACTGGATGTCGATTCCATGCGGCCGGGTCCAGGCTGCTGGCGTGGTCGGGTTCCCAAGGGAGGGAGCTTGAGCGCTATCCCGGCTCGGTCAGGATGATGAATTGAATGAATTCAACTGGTCCTCAATCGCTGGCTCAGGATGGTTTTCAGCATCACCATGATCCAATTCAATGGCTTTGATGGCTTTGGGCCTTTCTCTTGGCCCTTGGTATGCCCTATATAGTCTAATTCGCCCGGAGATTTCCCAACTTCCTCAGCAGGTAGATCGGGCCGACGGCCTTTGTAAGATCTGTGTAGTGAAAGAAGTTCCACCCTGCGGGGGTTGTAGGAGTCCAAGCCGAAACCGAAAGGCAAGCGGAAGGTCATCCGCAATACTTTGCAAGATCAGACACCTGACAAGCCTGATCACTTATTGGATGTGCTTCAGGAGGTGTGGGTCATGGCTAAAGCGGTTAAAGGATTGGAATCATTCGCCCATCGACGGTCTCGGCCGCTGACTTTTTCTTCACTTCTCGTCTTTTCCTCTCTCGGAAGCGCGCAGTTGGTAATTTGAACAACTTGAGCTGTCTCGCAGCGGTGAGATCTGCCCATCGATCTGCGTACCCGCATCTTCGTAACCCAGCTGGTGGTACTGCTTAGCAGTTGGGAGCGTACCTTCCAACCTTCTGGTCTTGGTGGCCTTTTTGCGTGCTCGGCCGATGCCGGTGCCAGGTCTATTCCTTCCCCGGTGGACGTTTGATGACGGGTGCGCCCTTCGCGAAGAGCGCGGTGCTCCAAGGCGCCTTTGGAGCCTTGGCGGCCTTGAGCGAGCGGGTGGAGCGGTCTGGAGAGACCTGGAGCGCCCGCTCCATCCGAGCGGCCCGGAACGGCCCGCCCCGGTGAGGACTTTTGGATGATGCGTTCTTCTATTAGTGTTATAGCTGAGATTGGATACAGTAGTCATTGGTATTCTGTTTGGTTTAGTTGGTGGGTCCTTTGTCGGGCAGTTGTAGCAGTCAGCCAGATGCACGATTTCGCCTAATTGCATGTTGCCAATACGTTGCTCCTTGGAAGGTTGCCAACAATACACGAAACCATCGGAACTCGCCAGGCTCAATCCCGATCAGGCCTTGGAATGGGCAAATCCCCAACTCACGCTCTTCAGCAACCTAAGGTGTAGCGATCCTGTCGGACCAGGACCAGGTGTGGGATGCCGGAGCTGCGGGTGACATGAGTTCAATCATCAATCAAAAGGGGAGATTTGACCAATTGAATGAAGGAGCTTTCTAACATCTCTTTCTTTTGGGGTCTCAATGTGCTTTTCATACATATACCGTGCCTCCTTTACACAAGCAGAAGGGGGATGCTTGCGGATCTGGTCAGCTCCCCTAGCAACGCCTTGCAGCCGGGGTTTGGGTCGTTCCCACCCAAGGAGCTGTGTGCCGCAACTTCACATCCACGCGGCCACGCGACGAAACGGGATAGACACAGTGGTGCCATCATCCCCTCCGCCCAGCCCGGCGCTCTCAGAGGGTCCCCCCACACCGCCAGGCCTGGGCTATGAGACCCTTCCGGCGCTAAGCCCGAAGCCTGTTTCACCCGCAGGGCGAGCGCAGCAAAAGTGCGGCTCGTTGTGGGCGGCTGCTCTTCTTCTGTGGCTTGTTTGCCACGAGAGGAGCGCGAAAGGTACTATAGTTGAAACGGATCCAAAGTTGTCCCACCGTACCTACCTTGAAATTACACAGGCCCATCTCAACAAATAGCGACTAAGCGGTGGAGAATCCGCAGTTCCTTGCAGTTTCAAGCCATGTGCAGGTGAATGTGGCCACAGATCATGTATGTGCCTTCATCCGAAACCTTGAAGCTGATCTAGAGCCTTCATCTCCATGTGCTAACCAAGGTGCCAACAAAAGATCACGCCTTTTTCTTGCACAGCTATGCCCATTCGATTTGGATTGAGGCCTTTGCCCTTACGCTTCTCACCCCAGCCGATCGTGCCTGGTCCTGCCAGGGCCCTGCTGGACGGAATGGGTGCTGTTCTCAGTGAACCAGAGAGATCCAAGCAGACATTTGCCGTTTTCTCCAGTTTGTGAAACTTAGAGAACCCAGGAATCACAGTTTCGGTAAACTCGGGGGGTTTGGGTCATTACCTGTTGCCTACAGATACGACGTATTTTTTCAGTGCCAGTCTTTCAATCTCCCAGGACTGCTGTGCTCACCGCTTGCCAGTGTAGCAGGGGCCTCTCTTGAGGTGTATCATTGCATCCAGGTCATCCCACCATACATCGCCTTTGATCAGCTATAGTGAAGTGAGAGTAGATGGCAGAATCCCCAAGGTCGGTGGTGAATATGGACCCTCACTTACTCTTAAACCACTGTAAGTCAATCCACACGCAGCTCACACTTGCCACCGTCCAGGTTGATCCTCATCAGTCGCAGCATGGTCGAGCTAAGCCCTTGGAGTGGCCCCCGACTTTTCGAGCCCCTAAAGATTCGGATTCGAAGAGACGACTTCCAAGGAAAGTTGCTTTTGTTACGTTTTTGTTTTGTTTGTTTTGTTGTGTTTGATTTCCATGGCCTTTTCATTCCCCAAGTTGTTTCTGATGTTTCCTTTTCGTTTTATGGCCTACATCTGAATCCTCTCGTAGACTCTGTCCTTTTCGAGACGGCATCTGAGGGTGGACCGATTGGAGGAGGGCGCATCAGAGCTGGGGCACCCAAAGACCTCTCGGAATGCGTGGGAATAGTCGGTGAGGGTCAGCTTTTCTCCAGCCTCCAGCCAGGACGGTTTGCTGAGTTGCTAGTGCTGGCACTCATATAGGAATATAGGGGGGATCTGTGGTTGAATCAAGTTCGTGCCGTCCACTTGGGTCTCTATAGTAACATGCAACTTTTCCGGCAGTTGCGAAGTCTACTGTTGATGTTTTAAACTTTCCGAGCCACAGCTGCGCCCTGAACCCTGCCCACGCCCAATGGTTGTGAAGTGTGATTTTTGGGTCTTTCCGGCCGGGCCTCACCTTCTCAGTGTTTGAGTCCTAGCCCGGACGTCAAACCATGTTGGCCTGCTTCAGCCATGTCGCTCGGTTGCGAAAAATACTGTACAGTACGCACCGAAGAAAGGACTGTTTCCTTCACTTTCCCTCCATGTAACGCATTGGTCATTCCACACCCGCCACACACTAGTCTCCGAAACATTGCACCGACGACCTGCAGCAGTCTTTATTTTTTGGGATTATGCCAGGCACTAGCATTATTCTAGCTTCTGGATACATGCTCATGCTGTTGGATTCGTTGACAGGGAGGCATGGACCAAGCGCTGGTTTGATCTTAGTGTTTTCAGCGCCCACCTGGTCCAAACCCTGGAGGCCATCGCTCTTAGGTGGAGGCCATCGCTACTAGGGTGGAGGCCAATACTACTATATAGTAGCAAGAAGCTACTAGTAGCACGAGGCATCACTTCAAAAACGCCTGTGTGAACATGCGGCCCAGTGGTGCCCAGGCAGTGCAGCCACTTTGACTCCATTTGGGTCTGAAAGCCCCAGAGTCTGGGGCAGGGGTGCTGCAAATTCTCCGGATGCCCGGATTCCGTGACCGTGTTCACCTGGCACTTCTGAGGGTTCTGCACCCTTGAAGTGAACCAGTAGACCACCGACCTGTAGACCTGACAGAAC